CAAGCGCATCGAGGAAACGCAGATACAACTGGTGGTTGTTAGGCTCGCTGCTGATACGCTGGTCTACCAGATAATTAGCGAACCACCTCGAAAAGGCATCGTCAAACTGCTCCTTCATCTCCGATAGCTTGGCGTCGAAGTTACTGGGCGCGAGGTTGTTCACGATGAACAGAATCTTGTCAGAGAGCTCCTCCGGAGGCTCGACGATCTCCAAATCAAACTTATCAGGGTGGATAGAAGTAAATACAGGCGCAGGGTCAGCCGTAAGACCGGCAGAGATACCGCGCATATCAGCGTTACTGCGCGATCCATCGCCACCAACAGCAATAGCACGGTGAATGACGGCTGCCAGATCAGGGCGAACCTCCATAAGATGGGGGATTCTGAGAAGAGCCTGACACAGAGGCTGCCACTCAGCAAGGCGAGTTTCAAAGCGGGAGAGCGCTTGAAGACCAAACTTAAAAAGATTGGTATCGGGGGGACAGTTGAGGGCGTCGACAACGTAACGGATGGCAATTCCGAGAGGAACTGAATCTACGAGATCATGATGAATGATAGAGCCAAATAGATATCCGGTCATGGCGAGCTCGCGAGCGGGGTAGTAGGACTGGAAGAATTTGTATTCGTCGAAGAGGAAGTGGAGCATGCAGGAGAAAATCTCGTGGTCACGAGTATCGGACGAGACTTTGCTGCGTTGGAGAAGGGCGATGACTTCGTCGATAGAGGTCTGTTCGTCATACATGTGCTTGTAAATGGCGTCAACCTCACTCTCAATCTCCGCTGAGTAATTGACGACACTCAATCCAGGATCGATGTCGCTACCGGGGATGAGGCTCATGAGACGAGGGTGAACCTGCAAACAAGAGTTGCGAACTTCGAGACAGTAATCAATATCATCCCGAGGCATCTTGGCAGAACTACAAATAAACAAGTAAGGCAAAAGAAAAAAGCAAATCAGAAGGCATGGACACTTACTTATTACGGAGAATGCGTAGGAAGATGGTGATGGTGTTGGGATTTAAGGATAGCGTGCGACTATCAACGGCGGGATCCGACATTCTTGTCACCTTCTCGCTCTCCATTTTGACTTCCAAAAATGCAACCATGGCGCGTAAGAACTCTGCTCCATGTTGGTTAACGTTATCGGCCAACCACTTGTCAAGGTTCAGGTACTCTCGGCGCGATGCCAGCGAGGCGACATCCAGGGCAAATGTAAAGGGCCGAACATCGAGCAAGCTCTCCAGAATCTGATCCCATTTATAGTCATCATGAGCGCCTTGAGGCTCATTTTGGCTTACCTTGAGGTCCTGAGCTACGTCCAGGATCCTCGAGATATTGAGAGGATTTTCCTCATAAAAGTCGCGGAATGCATCGGTCAGATAGGTTGGTTCGATCTGCCACAGACGCATGAAGACCAGCTGGTGGTTGGGATGTCCGGCAAGGAACATGGCTAGAAGTTTCCGAGAGTATTCCACGCGTATTTCGTTCCAGTTCGCATCCTTGACGCTATTAAGGAAAAGAAGCACGTGAAAATAGAAGAATAACTTACTGGCACTTGCAGCAGACCCATTTGTACCAGTTCAGCACTGATCTTTAGTGCTTTGTCGAGCATATCCCTGACGCATGAGCGAATTTCGGCACTATCCGAGTCCGCGAGTCGTACGAGAACCTCGAAGACATCCAACGAATTCCAAGTGTGACTCTGTACGTTGGCTGCAAGGGACTTGATTGTGGGGCTCGCAACTGCGACGTCATCCACTGTAACGATCCTCCTGCCTGGCAAAGATACAAAATTGAAAGTATCCGCAGGTAGTGAGAGCAACGCATCAAGAAGTTTCAGTTGATATAATGAGTTAGACCATGTCCCCCAGAAACCAATCACAGCATGAGGATCGGCGTCGCGTGGGCAATTAAGCAGAATGGCGATCAGAAGCTTTAAGGTAGCAGTATCCACCCCATGACGGTCGGGTAGATCGAATGCCTTAATGACATTCGCCCAATTCAAGGTAGTGTGCTAATCATGCACGTGAGTAAATGCAAATCTCGATCAAATAGACCCTTACAAAGCTGCTCAACGCCCTCACCAAAGCTCCGACATCACATAAAGTTGTACCCTCCGCGGCCAATCGAGCCAAATTGGACATGATCTCCACCAATTGCGCGTCTCGAGGAGGATTCGCGTCCGAAATGCCAAAACGTTGAAGCAGAGCGCAAACAGTATCCGGATCGCTGGTAATGTCAGGACCCAACTGAATCAGTGTTTGAACCAGGGAAGTCCCAGGAGGCAAGCTGCGCAAAAGGGTTCGGGTTAACAGTTGACAGAAGTGGTAAACAAATTGCCCTGACCTCAACGTTGGGAAAATGCGCTGCAGGATAGGAGCGACAATTTCTGGCCCATACTTTGCCTGCGCAGCAGCAATGAGCGCTTGACGCTGCGTGGGATCCAGGATTGGGGTGTCGGAGGTGGACTCGGAAAGAAGATTTGACATGAGTTTCGCAACTTGCTGAGGTGAAAGATCGGCGTGGTCGAAGGAGGGATGCTGGCAAAGTGCAAGTACTGCAATTTCAAAGTCGTGTCGTATAAGAGACATTGCTTGAGCGGCAAGTTCCCTCCTCGTGGGCGAAGAGACGATGGCCGAGGATAAGACAAGTCTCTCCAAAGGACGTAAAGCCACCCGATCAACGAATCGCAGGAGATCAAAGTGCCTGAATGCGTCCCCTTCGCCCTTGTCTATGCCCTCACGAAAACGGTCAGCGAGGAAAGGGTCGCGCGCGAGTCGTTGAGTTTCTTGAACAAGGAGTCGAAAAGTCAATGCAGTGGAAGTATCAAAAGCCGATGGAGGCGCTGAAGATGCTAGTCTGCCTTGGGAGTGGGCAATTAGGCGACGAATAAAATGGAGGTATGTGTCAAGCCCGTGCTGCTCAGAAAGCTAAAAAGGAGTTCCCGTGAAAATAGGAATGGTTCAGTGATGCAAGAACAGCTTTTTGATGCTGATAATCCTCACCGAACGGATTTCAAGCTGATTTCGGTCAAAATTGTCTTCTGTAAGGGTTGAAAGAAGGAAAACGATTTGAGCCTTTACGATTGTATGTATATTATTAGCGTTTGGAGGATTATCCATCGCCGAAGACCTGGCTGCAGTCTCCGGACGTCGCGAGACGATGCTACCAGCGGACGCCGTTTTTGAGAATGGAAGTAAGAAAGTATAGAAAGCACGTAGGCCGAGTCCAACAGCGAACACACCAGCCCGGTGGCAACTCGTCCTCGCTGCCAACACACAAATCCGGGGGTCCTATTTTAAAGCTCCGATTAAATAAACTTATTATTTTACTTGTCACTCCCTCGCTGCTGTTAAACGTTTGAGCGTTGACACCAGCATTAACCATGGGCGTCATTACAATGGTATATCGCGACGAAGGCCACGTCGTTTCAAAGGATGACACGATCACGGGAAGTATACGAGTGTAATTATTTCGAATAAGTAACACCACGCTTCCGTGCATGGGCTGGGTTGTAACTTGTCTGTCACGAGCTCCCATCGAGCCCTTTCAATTTGACCAACTTTATTGCCACATGCCGCTTAGACTGGTGACCAGTCTACATGCCGCTAGCACGCCAGCAAATGGCTCAAGTGACTTTGCCGCGAGCCATGTGTATGTATACCTGTCATGATGTCCATCCGTTGATGTAGCGTTCAGGTCAGATAAGATTAGATTCGATGTACTAGCGAGGATTTCTGACAAGTTACACCGCCCATTGCATAGCGATAAAACTCCCTAGCTATAGGTGCCCAGCCTCCTATATACGTCCTTGAAAATATTACTCGTAGTTGTAGTAAAATTACCGCTCACGGAACTGATCCTGTGCATATTCACAGGTAGGCTGTCAGACTGTCACGCCACATCAGACTTCACAGCAATCCCTTTGGCAGAAACACGGTACAAACCTTGACAACTAGGTTGAATTCGTCGATATTATATAATCCCGGTTTTTATTCCTCTCCGTTCGGGTATATGTCAAAATACCGTCAACAGCTCCGCGACCATGTAATATGATATTCTACCACACAGCTCCTCCTGGCCATATTTAAGCCGTGACCCATTATGCATCTGCTATCTTGCTGCTCTTCAACTCCTTCGTGGCTCATTAACTGATGTTTCATAGCAAATTTCTCTTGGATGCGCGGTCTCCGACGCAATCATGATATTGTATAGTTCACAAGTTGGTCAATCCGTTTCGTATCGCTCTTGACTTCACGTGTTGCCTTCGTTTCAAAGCAATGGCGATAATACCATAGGATTGGGACGAAATGAACATTGCGTCGTGCTATCATGCATCTCATGAAATGTTGACATTACTGTGTCTTGATGTGTGCGTGTTCTCTGTTGAATCGGGTGTTGATCCTGCGGTTCCTGGATGTAGGGTTGTCGGCACTGCTTGCGCTACTGCCTGATGAAAGTTCAGCCTGCAGAATTTGCATCAGGTCTTGATCGCTGTTAAGGCTCATTTTCTACACGCTGTCAAGTCGGGTGCCACAATACATTGCTCTTCTGGATCTTTACTAAGCGGAAATCTCATTATCTGGGGGCGTTCAGGCTGGCTGCTTTTCGATCTGCAATCGCTTCGTATTTATTGGTCGATTTCGTGCTCCCTATGTGGCCCACGGAGAGGAGGTTTGAACGGCGTGGGTTGATGGCAAGCTTTGTGATCCTATTTCTTACGAGTCATTTCCCGAGATCTGAAATCTCCTGGTTCTGTTACTTGTCGGTCCGATTTCCTCGCGTGCCGTACAGGAAATTATTGAAGACTGGCAAAGATGCTGTACTTGGCACTGGTTAGTGGCTGCTTGGGCTGGGCATCGCCTCATGTGCCACGGTTCTCTTTCGAATTCTTCGTTCAAGCGACTTTCCTTCACATGGCCTTCATCAGTATTTGACCTGTTATATAACTCTCACTTCACCTACCTACCTCTGTCCTACAACATTCACCAGTATGGGTCGATCAGAGGACAACATTTCCTTTGGAAGGACACATCCTACAATGCACATTCCAGCAGTCCAGCTTGGCAGTCCGTGAGTGAGGCGTAGTTAGTTGGAGCATCAGTGACTCATGAGTCTCGTCATAGCCGCACACTGACAGCAGGGCATCTTCAGCGTCAGAACATTTCGCCTTTGCTGGTATCTGACCAGTTGAGGTGATTCTTTACCACTAAATGATCACTCCCTTCTTATTGGTTTTAGAAGGGATACAGCATCGCGTTCCCGCGAAAATGTACCCTTCCGGGCCTCCCTCATGTTACTACGCACAGTCACAGTCTAGGTGCGTGGTTCGGTGAAATTGAGATCGCTCTATTTGATGGTGATATTAAGGGATGGTTTTACACGTTCTGGCGCCGTCGGTGGTTCAAGGTATTTGAGTATGTTCACGGCGTATCACTCTGAGCTCATTATTCCTTTATTTTCATTTTCTAGCGCATACCGCTCTGTAGGAGTCGGTTCGACCACTCATTTTCCAGGTGATATTTCGAATAGAGATTTTCCTGTTGAACATTCTATGCAACCGCTGCAGGATACATCATTCCAGTCTCTGGCAATGGTTGTACCATCACACATAACCAATACCACTTTTCAGAGCTACGGAGGCAACGTCATCCATCTCTCACGACTACAGCACGCAACTCCGCTTTCAGGCGGTGGCGCAAGGTATGCAAGTTTGTGCACGGTATCTCGTTAAGGCTCATTTTTTCCTTATCTAGCACAAGGAGCTTTGCGAATTACCGCTACACGTTGGATGCCGGTCCGCCTGCTCAGATTTCAGGTGGAATTCCGGATAGAAATTCTATGCTTGCAAATCCTGTGCCATTGCAGCCGGACACAGTATCACAGCCGTTCAACGGCACTCCATCACACGGAAGCATGGTCATTGCTCCGAGATACGAAGGCGACGCCAGACCTGTCGTCTTAGAATCGCATACCGCAGAATTATCCAGGTCCACATCCTTCTATAATCCAGTTTACAGTCATTCAGACTATCCCCATTATGGCGTAACTCCCCCTCACCCTCCGTCGCCGCCATCATCGTCGATTCTAGCATCTAGGACAGAAACACTTCATTATAGTGCACATCAGCCGGCTCCCTCCACGGACCACGCTGTCCAAGCGGCGTCATTTCGTGGGCATGGTTCCCAGCAGTCAGCTTCTCCTCCGGTTCTCTACATCGATGGCCGTTTAATAGATGAGGATGACCTTGCAGACCAGGGAACCAACGACGGCAATATAATCGTTGGCCAATGTCTTCGCAATGACTCGCCGTGCGGCCTTTGGGTGAAAGCCGACAAGGGTTCAATCAAGCGCCATGCGCACAAATGGCATGGGGTTGCTCGTGGGGGTGACATTAACCCAGTCGAGTGTACATGGGCCGAGTGTCACACCAAGATGCAAAAGAGCGCTGTGCCACGGCACACTCTGTGCAAACATTTCGGTGAAACATTTCAGTGTAACGGGTGCTCGAAACCTTTCACTCGAGACCATGCTTGCAGATCTCATGTTGTAAACTGTACGTTAGGTGCTCATGGATACGGTGTGTCGTATAACCCTATTACTACCCGTGTTATCAATGTGAGAGGCATGCCCTGAGACAGGTCGGTTATTGATTCTGGATGGGTGAGTATACTTTCCCCCTGATCTCATTGATGACGAGCTAATTCATGTATCAGAAGGGAATGATTGAGCCAAAAGGTTCATTCAAACTAAATTGTCGTGATTCACCTTTTACTCGTTCACGTTGCCGACAAGAAATGGTTATGTTTCAGACAGGCGCATCATCCCGCAGCTGCAGACAATTGTTATTGGTTTTTACCTGCCCATGATCATTAATGATCATATAACGCGCAGGCTAGCTCGCATCAGAGCCCGCTATGGTGGCATTTACGGATTGTGATGGAACTCGATGGATTGGTCATGGAGGCTACAAATATTACAAGTAGATAGCTGGTACACCCCAAGAAGTTAGTTTAGCCTGACCTAGGTTAACCTGATCATTTTTACACTCAATGTAAATAAATTAATATGTGTCTTGTACCGTTTTGAATAAGGGTAGAGCACTGAGCAGGGATACGCTCCGCCGGTGAAGCATAAACGAAGACGGAGCGTTAATGTTCAGTTGTCCGGGAGTGGCCGAGCGGATGGCCTCTCATTCGAAGTTCAAGGCGGTAAGTATTTGATCATCATCGGCCCAAAGCGGACATATGCTATCAAGGTATTCACGAGCGGATCTGGGATTCGTATCAGTTCTGTGGCCATTAAATTTACCGGTGCAGTAGGTATTAATCCCCATGTTCTGGAACAACTAGTAACCACTGGGGTTTCGATCACTCATGTCCATCGGATAAAGATGTCAATATTGCTGCCGGCGGTTAAAGTTGAAACTGTCCTCAGGTTCAAAACTACATTGCCCGTGGGACAACACTAGACGATAGACTACGATGCGGCATAAACTGAGTTTTACTATCGTCGCACTTCATATACAATTATACGACAATCAGCGGATCCATTTTGCACTCAAGATCATCCTAGCAGTCATTCCTTCTGTGAAGAACTTCCTCGTCATTGCAATGCATGTCAAACACTTCGGGCACAGAATTACACCCTTTCAAGTGTCGTGACAGTGCACACCAATTAGCTTACCATATCATTCTCGTGCAACGTCACTACATAGAAGTAGTTACCTAGTGGACTGTTTGCTCTGCCCGCATGGACCCTATGTAAGATCAATTTGGTGATCGGGGATTTACAGATGACGACAACACACCATTCTGATGGCTGTCTGCGTTCCGCACTGCCAGCATGCTCCTTTAGCTGGAGCATCGAGACTTCAAATCGACAAAGTGAGTCGTGACTATTAGTATTAGACTCAAGCTATAGTAGCTGCATTTCACCCAGAAGGAAACCTTGGCACGTCGAGTCTGTGCTTCTTCCATGGTTGACCTCCAGCTAGTAGTCACTCGTTTCGATTCCTATCGACCTCGTATAAGTATCGCTCCAAGCCCGAATGACCTATGGTGCAAGAGGTCTCCTTACAAGACTCAGCCTCAGGTACGGTGCTCATACTTTTTCATCCCATTCACTCATTACCTCACTCGCAATCTGGCCTACTCAACATTTCGCCTCCTAGCGCCTATATCAATTCCTCCTCTACAATCCCGACAAGCCCCAATACCTGCACTTAGGCGTGTTCCCGTATATACCAACACCAATGTTATTTACTCCTCTGTCCAAAGAACTCCAATACTTGGGACCTGCTCCGCAACCACAACCACCTGCACGAATAGGAGTTCAGTCGGACCGTCTGCGCTCGCACGTTTCTCGCTACTCGCCCTCGTTATCCCAATTCGAATACGGTTGGTGGCACCTGCAGTACTGGATCCAGGAGCCTGATCAACGAGCTACGGTCCTGCTAGAGGTACTCCGTGCGTAACCCTGGCGCAGCTAGGATGAACAAAGGTGCTGAAAGGATCTACAGGCGCCACTTGAGTGGTGAGTACTTCTCTAAGATCCTGGAAACAACCATCTTTCAACGATGGCATCAGGAGCAAACAGACATCCACAAGCCACTACGATCTTGACAAGGCTAGTGAGATTGAGTACGTGAACCTCAGCGTCAGGGAGAGTTCTCTACTCATAGTTCGCCAAAAGCTCTTGTATAACCTATATCTACTTCGCAACTTAAATAAGTACCACGACAAAACCTGGAATAAATAAAAACAGATTCTCCCGCTCCCTGCACACTCCCCGCCCATTGCAAATCAATCACATCGAGCATCTACTGCGCTACACACTACTGCTAGTTGACACATGGACGCGCTCCTGGAAAGCAATTGAAGCCATAGCGGATGCTGTATCAGAGTTGGCCACGAGCTCAGCGTGATATTCTCGAATACTGAGGATCAGGCGTGGTCCCAGCACAAACATCTGCACGAACTGGAATATCTGAGCGAGACCTTCATAAATCTGAGTGTCCGAGGAGTATACGCTCTATAAAAATGACAAATCATGGTTACATGTAGAGGTTGGTGACAGATCAGCGTACCACTGGGAGTGTTGGAGAGAAGAAACCGATCCGGAAGCAAGAGAGGACTAGAAAACTAGCACGTATAAAACTTCAGCAGAACAAGAGAAGCACATTCACATTATGACCTCACCTTGCAAAGTAACTAAGGTGGGTTTGCATTAACACCGTGAAACAGTCCCCAATTATACCACTCGTTGAGTATTGTCGTAGTTCACGGAAGTGTTTCACAGCGATCCAGACTGCGAGACACAGTACAAGGACCTCCCATACAGTGCCAACTATCCAAGTCGTGGAACCCAGAAACATGTAATTTCCCGTGTAGTCAATCATGCACTGATGGGTGCCGGAGAGAACGAATTCCTCTGGTATGTCAATGAGCCTGATGCACTCGAAACATTTCAAACATAATTAAAGCTTACCCCCTGAAGTATGTATCGTCATTATTGCAATCATCACTGCGTTGGCGATTGTGATGGCCAGCAAGATGACAACAAGAAATATCAGCACCTTTCTGGATCGCTGATACATGGCATGTAATCGAGCGATTATGATGACTTGCATGATGTTTCAGTCAAGTCAATATCACGGAGGCGTATAGCTCACCGCCCAGTATTACCTCTACAACGTCATTCGTCCAATTATATACCTCATATATGACAACGCCTGACAAATCCAGCAACAATAGTTATTAACTTCGGAAGATCACAGGCTCGAAACAAACTCACAACTGTGGGAGTCGTTATGTTGAATCAACGAGTTGCTCGAGAATCTCACTCACCCCTGCATGTCAGTTCAGTTGTTGGGATGGGAATGGACTCGAGACATCAGTGTGGAATACTCACTGCATCTGTTATCGAGATAGTTGGAACATTGCCTGTATGCCGCCCGTCATAAGAAAGAAACAGAGTCTATGCGAGGATACATACCGAGGATATATATCCTGATTGTGAGAGATGAGTAATGAGCACGGCATCAACGGCTTAAACCTCCAGACGTACACAGCAGATCCTATTCCAGCATAGCGCACCTAGGATAGTCAGCGAAACTTGGAATCACTAAATGTAAATATTGCCAATCAAGGTACATACACCGAGATAGAGAACAGTCATCAAGGACCAGCGTTGTCTCTGCCATGAACAAGTTGTATTTTCACGTTGTCCTTTTGGTGTAGAAGTCCTCTCACCCAGATCAATTCAACCTACAACACAATTCTGAGTGAGTTGGCTGCCCCAGTAATGGATCGACCTACCTCTTGTGCGAACGTAAGCGCTGATAATACCATAAGGATATCAGTGGCCTTCTCATACTTGGTCTTGCTCACCCCAATCGTACATTATCCCTGCAGAGGCAGCAACTGCAAAACCGCAGCCAAGATTAATCGAGTCATTAATGTCGTCATATGGCTGACTCTCCACGAACCTGCAAAACGGCTGAAATTAATGCTCGCATTGATGAATGGCCACCAAATGGGATCATTCGAGACTACAGTCATACTATTAGAGGATGAGAGTGAGCGAGCGGGGGAACTTGGCGGACGTATAACGATCGCATTCGTGCTTGATATACCACAATCCAGCGTTTACATCGCCGAAGTGAGATTTGAGGGATGACATCTAATTGATCGAAGGAAGTATTTCAGGATGAGTTCCAGTAGAAAGACAAGGTGCATCCAGGGATACCGATGGGATCAAGGTAGAAGCTGTTGGTGAGATCGCAAAGCAGTGACTCGCGCGGGATGTTTGAACGCCGCAAAAGATCGATCGGAGAGCTATTCATGATCTTCGGCAACGTGCTACGTGGGCCGCCGTAGTGCGATACTCAGGGTGTTTTTAGCATTGCTTCATAGAAGATCGTAGATTTAACACAGGTTTGAACAGCTCCCAAGTGCTTGTGAAGGCGTTTTCTCTCAAGGTTAGCAATATTCTTCCTTGAAATTCACCTTACTTACTTGATACCGATGCTTAATCGTGAACATCCATAACCTTTCTTCCAATTCGTGTACACGCTAATAAATGCGACCACAAGTATATATATGTGTCATATGCAGTTTCCTGTCATAGGACATGGTCGACGTGTGAGGTGATCAGGGCAATCGTACAAAGAAGTGTGAGGTAGTACAAATCGGAATGGGACATCTGGGACGTGATGAGCGGAAGTCCGAAGATGTCTTGAACAGATTACCTTCCGCATCCACGTGCATGTCATAAGAACTTACGAGGGTCAAAGTGGATGACCTATTCAGGGAGGACGGACACAGATGCTGAAACAAGAGTGCCAAACATCGAGTTGGAATTCGAGGACGCAGTGAACTTTAAGATATGGCTCTGGGAAGCGTTGATGAGCTAGGTGACGAAGGAGCAAGTGGATGTTCCAAATTGATGGAAAGTGTGCTCGTCTCGATGAGAAAGGCCTTGAAAATGAATTGTAGAACTTCAGACAAGTGGGTAGTAGGGAAGGGAAGACATACCGAGAAATGTTCTCCTTATAATTAGCTCACGAAATTGATGCTACTCTTCGCGTTAAGTCGAGCAGATTAGTACGGGTCGTGGTAATGGAAGGGAGTGCCTTTGGCAGGAATATGATACCGCTGACTGATTTTCCTCCTTCAAGCTTGAGCGTCCTTCGAAGTCCGACTTTAGCTCCAGAACATCGTCTCAGGGAACCGGCTCGGTCGTTGCTTAGTCGTGCCTTGAATACTATATCGCCCAAACCTCGCCAGCGCAAACAAAGTGATGAGGTATCTCATCATGCATTCGACCAGCTGCCCGTACTCCTGTACATCATGCATCGCCTCGGTGGCTGTTCTATGAGTATCAAGTGTCGGAAATTTCCAGGTACCATTAATGTAAATCCTTGCAAGTAGACATTTTGTAAGGACCATTTTTCACACAGGCCATTAGCCGCCCGAAAGGTACATAAATCACGAGCGTCGCGACTCGCGCACGCCATTCCAGTCAATCACAATCATGATTTTTCGTTCTAACTGACATCTTAGGCATTGTCGAGCGGACTTAGAAATGGCAGCTGTGACAAAAGCGTTACTTGACGACTTGGGGCGCTGACGACTCAGCGCTGCAGCGCTCAGCCGTGCGCGTGAGGCCTTGAGGTACGATAGCATAGTACTTCACGTCAGTCCCTCGGCTGCTCGTGTTTTACTCCCCGCGACAGGAACAGCACACAAACTTGACAGTTTATTTCATTCTGCGCGAAAACAAACTGTGTTATTGAGTAGGGTTACCCGGTCCCCGCATGCGCTGTGGCGTCCATGGTCAGGCAGCTGCAACTGGCAAGCTGTGGCAGATCTAGTATATATAAGGAGAACATTGTAATGCGGTTTCAAAATAACCAGTTTCGTGGCCACAATTGGTAGCCAAGATTTCAAATCCAGTGTCAACTTGACGAGTACATGAACTGTTGGTACAGGATGGACGTTGCAGATCTAAGATGAACGAATTTGATTGGCTGACCGTTACTATCCCAGGATGCGAACCGGTAGCGAGCATACTATCTTATTATAAATGATCAATCAATATATACAGCATGGTGAAGAACACTTATATATAAAAGTCGGGAACGCACAGCTCGTCTCGCATGGACAACTTAATGGTTTCTCTCGTTCGTTCAGTATCACTGCAGCTTGGGCAGAGACTCCGCCGAGTCTGGCACAGTAGCCTCTCATCGCACGTAGTTTCAACTCTTCTACTTTCTATTGCACATCCACGGAATCCCCGGTGTGGGCCTCAGAGAGACCATCCTAGCATCAATCGAGACCGGACACCATGAAGTGCGGGCAGTCGTCTACTTATTCGCCAGACATGACCATGTTTGCGACAGGTGGATGCTGCCGCGAAGCCTTGGTTGTCGACGGACCTGTAGACCGCTCCATCAAAATCTGGGATGCTAAGACAATCGAGCTTGTCGCAACTCTACAGACGACGGGAACACAATTATCTCTGGGTCTCCCTATTGCTCAAAATATGGAAGTAGATCACGGTTTTGGATGAGCACGCATCTTTTGGCAATTCCTTTGCAATATCTCCTAATGGCCGCATCCTCGCAAGCGCATCGTACGACAAGAAAATTTCATTGTGGAATTTCGAAAATGGCTGGCCCGTCAGTCTGCCCTTCCAGCAGATAAAGTTACCTGCATACCATTCTTTGTGGATGGAAAGGCACCAGTCACTGGCTGCCAGGATCACAATACCTACACATGTGATGTTGCTACTATCATAAGAGAAACTGGCCTTGACGACCTTCTGTCAGATCCTCATTTCATGAGTTTAAGAACTGAATTCGCACTCAAAGAGAGCATTTCATGTACGTGACACCTTCATGTTTGAAAGATCTGATTGTGCTCAAACATATACACTCTAGGCTAATGCTACACTGACGTTCGGTCCAGTGACATCAGCCCGCCTATCAGGTACCCCAAGATTCTTTCGATGGAGTACCACCAGATCGTTCTCATGTATGTTATTGGTAAGTCTTCAATTGTTTTCTGACTTTGTGTTCCCAGTTCTATACACGAAGCTGTCCCCACTCCTCTTTAAGATCGGGCAGCCCGCTTGTTCCACCGCGGCCCCTCCGATACTCATGTTACATCACCGTTCTTCCCTCTTGACTGGGCTCGAAATCTTTTGACGCGGCGCAGACAAAGCAGTGGAGATACGGAGTTGTACGGCCGTCACCCTGGACCAATAATCGTTGAAGTCCCGTATGCAAAGAGAAAGCTTGTATGTTCTTTTCTTACCTCAACTTCACTGTTGAGATGCCTCCAGGGTAAGCTGAACGAGCTCCGTTTTTGCAGGATGGGATGTTCAAAAGCTGTCACGTGTCACGATAGCTTCAAGGCTCATTCCCGAATACTACAGCAAAGTATGACACCAGTACTCGTGTCATTGATCCAACAGATTTTGAGATATTACATTTTAAGTGAGTTATTCGTTTTTTCACTCATTGTTCCATTTAAAGCCGAATTAGACATGCTCACCAGTGACACCACTTAGTTATTAGACGACGACGACGACGTTGTGGACTACATCCTTGTGAAATCATTTCTCTTATGGCCTAGCACCTCCCTCACCTTCCGTCGCCGCCATCATCGTCGATCGCAGTCTCCAGGATAGAAAACTCATTGCAGTGCACATCAACTGATTCCATTCACTGACTGCACTGTCCAAGCTGTGTCGTTTCGTGAGCATGGTGCCCAGCAGTTAGGTTCCCGTCAGGTTTTCGACATGGACGACTGTTTAATAAACAGGGATGATCTTGCAGGCAGAGGAGTGCCAATGACCCAATAATGATCGGCAAGTTCGCACAAGCACACCGTGCGGTCATTGGGTGAAAGCCGACAAGTGTTTAACCATACGATTAACCGGAACCACTCCTCCCCGTCACTGAATCAGCTTAGATGAGTTTAAGGCAAATGGCAGTCTCAAGGCATCTACATATCACGTAGGTGCAACTGAGGAAATCACATCATTCGACTGGCAAGATGTCATATCAAGATCCGACTGCTGGCTTGGGTTCCTTCAAACGATCCCTTTTCCGAGATTTACGAAACCGCTTTCTTACTGTTGGCTTTCTGGCTCGTTTCCCTTTCCATATCATGGGACCAGCCGATCTTGCTGTACTATGGACCAGCCAACTTTGCTGTGGTATGGACCGGCCAATCTTGCTGTACTTACTAAGAGCCAACCAATCTTGCTGTACTATGTATTGATCACACACCGCCTCCTTGGCTGATCGTTTGCCAGAGCTACACGCCTTTCAATACTTAATGTGATGGTTAGAACACTATCAAGAGCCGATTATCGTCTAACTTTGCTTGTCCACAAATTTGATTCGCGCAATGCCGAACAACAATCTCATCCCAGGTCTCATTCCGATGGCCCATTCTGCTATGCGAGAGGATCTGTCGTCACCAATCCAGTATGTCAGCGCTTTTGGTTGAATTCATCAACCCTGACATTTCGCAGAGGACGTCCGTCCACCACGCGTGTAGTGGAATACATTCCTCCCGAAATGTATCAGCTGCTGGCTGCGGCACTTAATGGATCACCCAATCTAATGCAAGTGTCCTCTGTCAAGCGAGACTATGTTTTAACCTGCCAGTTTTTCATAGGAATGCATTATTGCCGTCATCTGTAGAAGTCCATATTAACAACGGTGATACGAGCGTGCATTACCGTGGTAGCATAAGGTGTGTGTCCCGATGCATGCATGATCAGTCTGTGTGATGATAGTGTTAGTGACATACAGCCTGTTCAAAATCATTTCCCCCAATGCTATCATTAACTCAAGGTAATTGAATCTGCATACTGTTCGCCTTGTCGCTCATACTTGCTTCGATCGGCTCTGTAGTCGGCGGGGCGCAACAACATCACAATTTCACGAGAATAAGTACCCAACTTATCATGGTCCGAGCGGCATGCCATGGGAGCATGCCACAACAATTCTCGGCACAGGCTCTTCTGGCTTCGAGTCGGCACCCCGTGACCTGAACAGCCATGCTCCTCTTCGAGTTCATTATCCTGTGTTACCTCCGCAGCTACCTTCCACCACACAGCCCATTTTTCTTCCTTCGGTGTCCTCTAGCAGCAAATTTGTTGCCCCTTTGAGCGACCAGCCATATTTACTTGGCGCTAGTGCTACCACACCTGAAATCCCCCTCACAGAACGCCAAATTTCTCATCACATAGAATACACAACTCAATTGGTCCAAGGGCATCAAATCCAGCATCCAAGTTCGTATGGCTTTGAGTCGGCACTGGATGACCTGAAGGACCATGCTTCTCTTCAAGTTCATCATCCTTCGTTGCCTCTAGAGCGACCCTCGACCACGCAGCCCATTTTTATTCCTTCAGTATCGTTCAGTACTACTGCAACCCCTCCTTCCAGCGCCCAGCCACCTTTTTTCGGCGGCAGCGTGGCCTTAACCAAAATCCCCTCTGCAGATCGCCAAGTCTTTCGTCCCTTGGAGTACGGAATTCAATCAGCCAACGGGCATCAAATCCAGCGGCCTGGTGGCCCTCGTGCTTACATGGTCGATGGTCTTTTGGTTGACGAAGAATACCTCACGGACGAAGACGGTGGCTACATCAATGTCCACGCATGCGGTCGTGAACACTCTCCCTGCGGTCTCTGGGTTAAAGCGGACAGACACTCTATCCTGCGCCACGGACAGCGGTGGCACCGGGACGCTCGAGGTGGTGGTGGGGATAGAAAAATCACTTGCCCGTGGTCAGGCTGTAACAGCCAGATGCGAATGAGTGCCATCGCACGGCATACTTTGAGCGCCCACTTCGGTGCAACGTGGACTTGCAGGGGATGCTCAAAACCTTTCACGCGTCACGATAGTTTTAAGACCCACTCTCGAAAATGTGGTAATCTTGGAGCAACCGTGAAGTATGACACCAGCACCCGTGTCATTGACACACAACTGTTTTGAGATATTACGATTGAGTGAGTTATTCGTTTGTTTACTCTTCCCAGCTGTCGACTGAACTCGTACTTTCGTAGAAAAAATAGACAAAAATGACGGCAGATCGCCTTCTCTCTTACCTTTGCCATCGTTATTAGATATCTTTACTTTCACTCGTTCAGATGCACCATTTTCATCACGAGGGGACCCCTAGGCAAGAGGCGGGGCAGCAGTCATGTCACCGCAGAGTCAGCCACTCGTTATGACATTTCAAATACTGTAATTTAGAATGCATCAGCCTGCTTCAAAGGTTCGGCCTGTGCATGTGGCGGGAACACAAACTATTTTTGAGGCACCATCAATATTTCATCCTACTAGGAGTCTTGCTCCACAAGGCACTGTCCCATGACAAAGTTCAAGTTTACAGGAAAATTTGATCCGAAAAGCCTAACAAAGACTACATGTAGCAGTATTTATTGACTGTTCGGTTTGAAAAAGTGTTACTTCAACCGCCTGACTATTCTTAATCCACAGCCAGCAGTCGAAAGGCAGGCAAATGAATGGAGGTGACATGCATGGTCTCGCATATGTGCGCATGAACCACGGCACTGAGACAGTTAGCCAGTCCCAAACATATGCTCTAAGCAACATCAGGTCTGCGAGGAGTACTGGCTATTCTGCTGTGCCTGAGCCATAGTCCGATGCTGTGAAAAAAAGCACCATTATCAAAAGCTCGCCTTATCATTGGATGAAATTGGCTCACCTGCATTAACCGAAGGGCCTGGTCCATTTGGTCCTGTGTGAAATGACCACTGGGAAGGGTAGCCACCACCGGGAAGTAATGAGCCTGCCGTGAAACGGCATTTCCAGGCATCTGAGGAGGCTGCATGGGTAGTTGGGGCTGCGCGGAGGGTGGTCGGGGAGAAGCGGCGTTAGATGGCGTGCCTATGTTACGTGGAGGAGTTGCTTGCGGTGCTACGCCAGGTGATGATGTTGCAGCACGCGACTGATATGGAGGTGACAGGTGGGCACCAGCAGGAAGTCCGTTGATAGTAGGAATAGGGCTACCTTGTACTGGCGCTTGGGATTGGGCTTGGGCTTGGGCTTGGGCCTGGGCCTGTGCAGCGAGAGCACGAACTTGAGCTTGCAACAAGTGCTGAGGAGACATACGAGCCCCCGCAACGGCCGCCGATGCCATTGGTGTTGGCATTCTCTGTTGCTGAGAAATATTGACCTGCGCCACGGGTTGATTCCGTATTTGTGGGACAGCTTGTGCGGGCTGGGCTGCTGGTCTCGGTGTCCCATTTGGCTGTTGTTGCTGGGCTGCCGCTGCCGCTGCCGTTGTCGCTGCCACTGCTGCTTGCTGGGGTTGCTAGTGACTCGGCGTCAGAATAGCTCTTGAGAAAAGGTGAGATGATAACACATACACCAGCTGCCGCTGCGGCGGCTTGCAGCCTTGGGTCACGCTGCATCATTGCCTGACGGGTAAGTTCCTCGTGGCGACGTCGGGCGAGGAGTAGTTCTTGTTGTTCCCTCGACTCTTTCTCATACTTCATACGACTAAGTTCAGCTGGTGTCAGTTTAGGCATTTTCTGATACTGCCCATGTGTATCATGAATGTTGGATGCCTTTCGCTGATTCACTGATGGATTGACACGAACTAGTAAGTGCTGGATAACTGTAAGTAACGAATATAGCTCACTAGACGCTTTTTGTGCTGCTTCACGCTTCTTCGCAGCTTTGCGCATCGTTTCATACATGAACGTATGTCTCCGCCGTTTTTTAGCGTCAGACGTCAAGCCGGCTCCAGGACTCTGGTTTTGTGTAACTGACATACTAGCTAATCGCTTAACACCTCTCGTGGTCATCTGCCCTTGAGCTGAGGTTGATGCTGGTGGCGGCGTGCGCTCCGTGTTGACAGGGGAGTTGACATCAGGATGGAGCCTGTGTCCGCTACCGAAGCGGTTGCTCCAACGCTCGAAGCATTCCCAGGGAGTCCGTTTATCGGTGGAAATAGTAACGCGCGAGGAGTTGAATGAGTCCGCAGCTAACAGCCAGTTATTGGGATATCTCTCCACAACGGTTTTGAGAAGGGAGTCCTCATCGGAGCTCCAAAGATGCTCCGAACGCTTCTTACCGTCTTTCGATGGCAGTCCAAGGGAACTGACTGCGGATGGTCTACTGCCCTCAAAAAGGTCTGCGAATAACATTCAGCATCGCATCACTGTCACTTTCTCACGGCGACCTTACCTGAGGCAATATCATCCGCTGTCTTTCCAATTGCGCCATCGAAATCTACAGCCACTGCTGCTTCTTCAGCGAACATCCACTCCCCATTCACCCAATGCCTAGCAGGTTGCAAAGGCCCAAGGAGCGTCGGCTTGCAGTGCATGAACTGACCCAACGGTGCCATCTTCGTGAACCCTGCATCCTCAACACGCCTGTTATCCTCTCCCGACTTCTTATCCTTCTTCTTCCCCTCGTTCGAGCCAGAAGCTACATCTGGCATATCGAGCGGTTGAAGGTCGGGGAAAATGTCCGACAAATCAGGGATGGGTAGCGATGGCTCAATACCAGAGTCGTCCGTGGTCAGATCACAGAGTGCTTTGACAAGGATGAGGTCGTCATCGTCGAGGAAAAGCTTTCGCTCATCCGAGTATGCGATCTGCTCTCTGAGCGGTGCATACATACTCGCCTTGGACGCTTTGGATGATGATCCCGCAGGAGCAGCATCGGACTGCGTATTTTGCTGCGAGGCAAGATTGGGGTCTGTTGAATGCGCCTTGAGACCAGTTTGATCATCGTTCTCGTTCTCGTTCTCGACCTTGGCCTGGTCTTCCTGCTGCGTGTCCACATTCATCACATTTGAGTCCTGCAGAGCTGAAGGATCTTCAACATCTTCAACTTTGGGCTGAACATGGTCGGGGCCTGGAGTCTGGTGCTGACTACTGTCCGTGGACTCGTTAGATCCTGTTCCATCCAGTGCTTCTTCTAAAGCGTTGCGCGACTCTAGAGCTTCTGCGATGTCTCTTTGCTCAGCCTCTCCCTCCTCTTCATCGCCATCGGACTCATCTGCCATAGGGGTATACCCATTATGCTCAGCAGGCCGCGAGTCCATGTCTACATCTTCCGCAGGAGCATTTTGAGAAGACCTGGGTCGCTTCCACAAAACACATATGCCAAGCTTAACCCTCTCTTCGCGACTCCCCGCATCATGCCACTCCAGTACAGCAGTCGACAGGTTAAACGCGAGAACATATTTCCAGCGTCGCTCCTCCCGAAAATCAACACGCATCCATTTCTGACTAGAACGTAAGTCAGATGCACCACAAGAATCATAGAGATCATGCCATTTCGTCCATAAGATAGTCCCAGTGGGTCTTAGTCAGACCTCCCAGGTTCTTTTGTCTTTTGGGCTGCCTATAACTCCACTTTGCAACATTTTCGAGGCTTTCGACGCGTTCAAGGGCGCGCGTGAGCCTTAATTCGGCAATGGCAACCTACATACTTATGAGGACTTCATCTGGGACAGATTTACGTCACTTACACCCCAGTCACGCGTGCTCAAGCACTTGGTGGCACGAGAGACCTTCTTCCAGACAGGGTTTGCACGGATGGTCGCACCCCACTTGGTCAGGCCCATGGGCGTCCATTCATCCTTGATTTTTCCATCTGCTTTATCGCGTTCCTTGTCTCGCTTTTTCTGTTTAGCAGACTTGCCCTTGCGGAGATATTCAGGAGGCAATGATTTGATCGGAGGTAGACTGTAGGAGGGGTTGAAATGATGATGATGATGTTGCTGCTGCTGATTTTGATACCGTGGCGCCTCAACAGGTGTTGAGGCAGCAGCTGATGTCTCCTCAGGCGGCTCGCTCTCGGCCTCATGGAAACTGAATGCCGGATCAGCCACTGGAGACGTGGGGGTGGGAATGAGGAGTGAAGGCTGAATAGATGCGACATCCACAGTGGTATAGACTATGGTGCGAGGGGTAATTTTTTGGACAGGCGAAGACGATGGAAGGACGAGATCAGGTGAGGGTTCTCTAGGTTCCTCCATGGATACGTCCATTCTTTCCTCCAAGTCGATGAGTACTTCCTGGGCCTCACTCGCATCGTCGAGCGCAGCATTTACAGGTTGAGGGGAACGCGGCGAGAATGTACGAGATTTCGAACGCGACGTACGGTGGGTCAGGGATTGACTGCGATGACTGGCCGATCGCTGAGACGGCGACCGCGACCGCGAAAGGGCTACGAGATTCAGTTCATCTGGCTCGTCGTCTGATCTCGGACGTTTGTGTGACATGGGAGTGGCGCGGGGAGGTGACCCTTCCGGTATCGATGCGGCTAAGGGATCATCGGATTCTGGAACTTGAAATGATACAGATGATTCGGAGCGAGGTGAAGCAGGAGGCTCTGACATGGGGGAATCTGCATCGATGACGTCCGGCAGCTCTATTAATTTGAATTCAGCAGCAGTTGGAGATGATGAAGTGGCACACAGATCGCTCGGTAGAATATTTGACACCATGCCCGAATCGGGACTGGCGGGGATGAGCACATTAACGAACAAATTAATTGGTGAATAATGCCACGAACTTTTCGTTGAGATCATATTTATCTAACCAATCCTGAAGTCCATCTTCGTCCTCATCGTCGAACATAGATATGGAGCCTGCGTTTTGTCGTCTCCTCATCATATGGTACATTTCACGAAGGAGTTCATTTCTGCGCTGTGAGATTACTCTGCGCGTATACTAGCGTAAACGTTGTGGGTTGGTATCGAGTATAGTGCACTCACTCGAGCTGTGCCACACGTTCCTCCACAAAAGCTTCAATTGACAGCGATGGCATACCACAGAGAGCACTGTCTACCACTCTAGCTTCCAAACAGAAATACGTAAATTGCGGGCAGAAATCGGTTCAAAGATAAAAGTCCTAATGCCGCTGGTCGTGTTTGCTGAGATGTTGGACGTGTCTCAGAGTGTGATTTTTTTTAGTGAGTCCTCCAGCGTCAATATGATAATCTGAGGAAGGAGGATGAAGGTCCGGTGGACGAGCTAAGGAGGGGTTATGTACAAGCTTTGCATTGAAGGGGTCAAGAACTCCCACGAATTGAATACCGTGTCATGCTCGGGATTTAAGACTAATAAATCGGGTCGCAGTTTGCTCACTGTCGTACGTTTCGTTGACCATCCTCACGATGCGGCCTGCTCGTCAAGCATTGAGCCTTGCTCGTTCTTCGTCGCGAGCTCAGCGTAGAAGTTTGTGTGCTTCACTTCTGACAAAACTCATAAATAACTGTTCTTCTCAGGTCTGCACCAGACGAGGGTTCGGTATGCCATCACCAACTTGGAGATGCCAGCCATGTCACCGACTATGACAGAAGGCGGCATTTCCTCGTGGAAGAAGAGGGAAGGCGAGTCTTTCTCAACAGGAGACGTCCTACTGGAAATTGTATGAACTCTGTGTGTTTCCGTTTGCACACGAACCTCACAGACTCAACAGGAGACGGACAAGGCAACCATTGACGTCGAGGCACAGGATGATGGCATCTTGGGCAAAATTATCGTTTGTCTCGTCATCTCATAACAATAACAACAAGTACTAACTGCAATGCAGGCCCAAGACGGTAGTAAGAACATCCAGGTTGGCAAAGTCATTGCCATCCTCGCTGAGGAAGGAGATGACATCTCGAACCTCGAGGCACCCAAGGAGGAGCCCAAGCCAGTACCCTCTCCACAACCCGAGACTCAGGCAGCTCAACCTCCGCCTCAAGCACCGGCACCTCAACCTACGGCTTCCAAAGTGTCGCATCACCCGAAGCACTCGAAGCATTTACTGCCATCGGTGATACGCCTCCTGATCGAAGGCAACGTTATTGATGCAGAAGCTATTCCGGGCACGGGTGTTCGCGGCATGCTTACCAAGGGCGATGTACTTGCATACCTCGGGAGAGCGTCGAGTCCAATGGGAACATTCAAGGAAGCGAAGAAGGAGGTTTCAGGGCCAAAAAAGGTCGAGGAAGTTAAGGTGTGCTGCATTGCACGAATTGCACAAGCTTGATCTCACAATTGTTTATATCTTTACTCAGCCATTGGATGGTGCTACCATCCGCCAACTTATTGTCTCTGGCCTAGCCGCCAAAACGAAGCCTGCACCTGGTGAGTCATCTTTCTGTAAATTATGTTATAAAGCATTTGACACCCTAGCTAGCACTTACAACACCAGCAACCTTCGATGCCATTATCGCTGACTACCTCCCTCCTTCACTCTCTTCACCGAAGGCTGCGCCAATACCCATATCACCAACGAAAGTACAAGACAGCTCTGCCAAATACTTCGATGGGTTACTCTAAATGTTATATTGTCGCCCTTGTTGTGTAGACGTTACTTAGATTTCTGGGCTATTGATACTCATTTCAGAACACCGATGAGTACACGCGAAATTCACTACAGGTCATGTTACCTGTCTATATGAGATGCTTGAAGCACTGGTCTCCACAGGTCCAGCCGAGGTACAGATCATAATGCCTTGCCTCTTTTTGCGATAGCTTGCCACTATCTCCAGTGACACCAGCCGGGCACACATTGTTTACTGAGCAACATCATCGTCCAAAGCAAGACACTGTTCTGATCAGCCCCAGCCTTCGGAACCAAAATAAAAATAATCTTACTCGAAACTCGATGAAAGAATCTGACATCCCACCCCGCGGCCTTGGCACGGGCACTAAGAACTGCAAACTCAACAAACCCTCCTGCTCAAGGCGAAGAGAGGTCTTTGTTGAGTTCTGCAAAGCTCGCAGCGTGCGCGATATGTGTGCAAATCGATAGCTAACATCGAGCATCTCAGTCGTTTCTGGTACACGCAGTACAACGAATAACAATACCTGAAGCTGATACTACGCGAACACTCGAATGTTTCTAGCACCTCTCTGTCGTTCGGATAGTCCATCTGCAGTAGATTGGAACATGAACTCTGGACAAAGTTAGAAATTCACCTCGGTGCTGCCGAATGCTCCCGTTCCCTGTATTCGAAAGAGGGGTTTAGCGGGGACGCCTCTTTGCGCGCTCTGGACATCTGCTACAGAGTTGGCAATCAACGTTATTTTTTCGCAAGATGGATCAAGCTCTGAAAGGGCATCGCGGAGCCAGAAGGATGACTAGTCACCATGTGAGCTGCGTCACAAGCTCGATGTCCATTAAACAGACCTTGAAAATGATCTTCAGGGCACTAAACAAGGTATAAGGCAGAATGAAGAAGATTTTGAGGAGGCACCCAACGTCTGTTCAGCATCGAATGGGAGCTCTAAGTTTGGCTCAGAATCGAAAGTCGATATCTCACACGTTGTCGTGGGCCCTGATGAATCTTCCGCACTGCAACATATCTGTACCATCGATCGGACCAAGAGGTCTGAAGCTTACAGAACAAGTGTCAAGGGATGACCGGGTCCCGCATATGTGAGCCGCATGCTCGTCCGCTTCTCGTTACCGCCGAAGTGCTGATCGATACGATTGGCATTAGGACGCCGTCCATCGTCACCCCTCTCGTCATCTGAGGCATCATCGGCTCGCCGCCACTGCTTGTGCTTCGAGCCTGCACTGCTTGAGGAAGACATGTTCGCGGTTCCAAAAATATTCAGGCATTCAAGTAAGGTGTTCAGAGGGATTTCAAAAGATGTGGCGTGTCGATCAATATCGGGTGCAGACAACTGAGACGGGGCAGCCTGTAGATTGTCGACGTCGAATGCCCACTCGTCAAAATGGTCCGCATAGATGTATGACGTTGCTGTGGATCATTGTACAGAAGTTTGTTCCCGCAAACGAATGCGTACCTAGCAGTGTTCGCGCTTCCTCGACAGTGACGGTTATCCCACTGCCGGCTGTAAATCTCATAGATGCTCGCTTGAATCATAGTTTGCAGCGATTAATCACAGTTCAAAGCAGTGCACTCACGTTGGAAAACCCAATTCCGCGTAGGAGGGAGGCGAAATATCGAACGTCGTGTACAGATGCTGTTAAAAGCTGGAGCCCTTCTCAGCTGGGAGTACGCTCCGGGAGATACATAGATATCGTACAGGTTTGGCCTTGTCTGGTTGACTTGGCTGGGACATCATTTGGGACATTTTCTACTCTTCCTTAGGGGACTCAGAGACCTTAGTAGACGAAGGAAACTCCAAGACAACTGTTTGTCTTCGCACGACAACGTCGACAAGCTTAAGGTGTGTGACAGGTGACAGGACAAAGTCATAGATCACCTGACTCGTAATGCGCGTTGACGAAATCATGGCAAGACCGTCTAACGCAAAGACAACGAGTACTTGGGCGGAAAAACAAACTCGACAGGCTAAGTTACTGTTTCTTTCTTCGGACAAGACAGCCATTACGAGGTACGTAAGCGCCTCGCTTAGGCTTACAGCATAAATCCCACCTCCTACTAAAGCGGCACGACTGACATGTGGCCTTCGCCTAGCACTCCCAAGTCCGAGTCTGACTATGTCAAGCATCTCAAAGACGTAGTAAGACTGATTACGAGTCTACTGTGCAGGACTAAGAGAAAACAAAAACGCTTTCGCTACTTCTGAGCGGCCTTTGAAATTCAATTATGTAATCTAAATAAGGATGATGGCTGCATTTCATTGAACTTCTATCTGATATACTATAACCCTTAGCTACGTCTTGTTAACAGTTTCTATTGTTTGCTGCTTTCTCTCTCTCAGGCTCTCTCTCCGTTCTCTTGCGGCATTATGAACAAAATTATCAATGCATCTGCTGCCGAGGAACTATTTCTGACCTGTTCACATGTCACTAACTCACTGCTCAGTTTCTTATCGTCCAGCACTCAAGTACTCACACATGGTGTGCAGTTGGCACTTCGATTTATGACATCCTGGATCAGATCGTTTATTTGCCACGGTTTAGCCCAATGCGATAAATACAGGACCTAGATTTCAACGTACTTTCCTCCTAGGTGTAGTACCCGATAGACAGCCAGACCCGCATCTAGCAATGTTCAACGACGGACCTGGATTTTACTTGGCTACATCGGCCTTGGCGCTAACTTTTGTAAGCTATTGTCAAAAATATTGGCTCAATCGTGCCCGTCCTCCCCTGCCGCCTGGTCCTACCCCCCTCCCAATTGTAGGAAATGTTCTCAGTCTTGATGCCGCTCGACCTTGGCTGACCTTCAACGCCTGGAGATCCACATATGGTCGGCAATTTTGATGGAAATCCGTTCGTCATTAACTCATTTTTTCCAGGCGATATCATATATGCTCGTCTGCTCAACAAGCCTGTCATTGTGATAAATTCTGAGGAGATTGCGAAAGACCTTTTTGAAGGACGGTCCACTGTATATTCGGATAAGCCCCAGTCGATTGTTTACCAACCGTAAGTTACATCTTTGAGTATTGCTATACATCGATCACGAGGGCCACGGTGTTATCAGCTTCGCATCGGATTTCAACACAGGGCTCATGCCATATGGAGACAGGTAAGCTATTGGTGTATGTTATGTTGGTGTTTCCTGATGTCCAGCTTAAGGTGGCGCCTGCACCGACGGATGTTTCATCAGGCATTTCGTCAAGCTGAGATACCTGCTTATCACGCTTTGCAACTCCGTTCCGCCCACAAAATGTTGTTTAGTTTTCTACAAGACCCAGGCAATTATCCAAGCCATGTTAAGATGTCGGTTGTAACAGCCTTTCTTGTCCACTGCTGAGGCTGATCTTCACCAGGTTCGGTGCTTCGTTTATAATGTCTATTGTGTATGATTACGAAGTGAAAGCCGAGGATGACACCATCCTTCATATCATAGAAAAGTATGTGGAACTGATAGTTGAAGCGTTGACGCCAGGTGCTACTGTGATAATGGAAACATTCCCTTTCCGTATGTTCACATATCCAATGATAGCCCGTGGTTACATCTCAACGGCTGTTCTAGTTTTGAGGCTACCTAGCTGGTTTCCTGGTGCCACATTCAAGCGAGCATCATTGGAGTGTCTGAATGCAGGCCATGATGTGAAGGAGATACCCTTTCAACATGTCAAAGAGAGGATGGTGAATCGCCCCATTCATATTTGTGCAGCGAACTGACGAATGGCACGCAGTCCACGGGCGACGCGGCCCCGTGCTTTGTGACTGAGAATTTGAACAGGACGAGGCTTTCTGATAAGGACGACATAGTCATTACAACTGCAATCAAGGAGACTGCTGCCATCGCATTTGCAGGTATATATGCTAAAGAACCGTATCCCCTCGATGCTCATTTTACTTTTTTGTCTCCAGGGGGGGGTTGAAACGGTATGCATTACTTTGGTTTGTGTTTGACATGGTAATCATTTGCCCTCGGCTCAGACTTCTTCCACGTTGCTTGTGTTCCTTCTTGCTATGGTACTCCACCCAGAAGCACAAGCCAAAGCGCATGCGGAGATTGATCGAGTCGTTGGCAAAGATAGACTTCCCTGTTTCGACGATAGGCCTGCGTTGCCTTACGTGGAGGCTATTCTGCGTGAAACACTCAGGTGGCACCCTGTGTTTCCGTTTGGTATGTCACTATAACGCCAATTTCACGCCTTGTTCTGATGATGTATCAAGGCGCTCCGAGCGCAACAACGACTAGTGATATCTACAAAGGTTATTTCATTCCTAAAGGTTGGTATTATAATGTTCTAGCGAAGGTGGCTAATGACCCGGATTATTAGGGGTTGTTGTATTTAAAAACGCATGGAAAGCCAGCAATATTTTTATACCGAATTCGCTCGAATTGACCAATGATTCAGGGCGATGACACATGATGAAACGAGGTACCCCAGTCCTGATGAATTCAAGCCCGAACGGTTTCTCTGTAATGATGGATCCCTCACCAGTGACAGGATGCATTTAGGCTTTGGCTGGGGTCGCCGAATGTGGTGAGCATATGTCTAGTGCTTCTTCCCTCTCCACTGAAATCCGCTGGTCAGTGTGGGACGATATGTCGCAGACGCGTCACTCTGGATCGCGATGGCGAGCTTCTTGGCCGTTTTCTCGGCTCACAAGGCTCTTGATGATGACGGCATGGACATCCCAGTCGTTCCAAAGTTCTCCACTGGGATCGCTATGTTTGTAGAATCTCATTTATCTCTGAGACTAGCCTGTTAATCTCTTGTTATTTCAGTCATCCAGAGGAATTTCCCTGCCGCATTGTCCCGCGATTCCCGTGTACATCTGAGACATTGGAGCGCTTGACTGGCTTAGGTCCGTTGTCACTATCATCTTGGATTTCTGACAGACTGACATGGTAGCAGAGCAATCGTGATCATGGTATGTAGGGTATCTAAATCACGTACAGTAGCCCACGGAAATAGCTTTCTACTTTGACTATGCGACACTCGTTCTTTAATTCAAGCATAAGGTGCAAATGGAAGGCAGGTCGAAGTTGGACGACATTATAAAACACGATGGTATGTCCAACTGGTCGAGGCTGGTATTCAATGAGTATGCTATTACAATCCTAGCACCTCTAGCTGGAGAGGCAGTGTTTGCGGTATTGTTGTACAAGTGCTTGCCTGGTGGACGACACTCCAAGGTCATCATAAGATTATATATTGTGGAATTCACTCACTCGTGCGAATTTCTACGAGATTACGTTAAGCGTCGCTAAACTTGCCCTGAACGGGACTCTCACTCAAAATGTAATTATGTAATTAATATTGATGTTTAGATAGGAGTTTGCGTTGTGAATGCTGTCACACCGTGTGTTTGCTTAGGATGCTGTTTGAAGGAACCGAGTAACTTAGGTCCGACTGATAACAGGGTACCATAATAAACACGATGTTCGACGCTGGACCTGGACTTTACTTAGCCACATCGGCCTTGGCACTAACTTTTTTAAGCTATTGTCAAAAATATTGGCTCAATCATTCCCGTCCTCCCCTGCCGCCTGGTCCTACCCCCCCTCCCAATTGTAGGAAATGTTCTCAGTCTTGATGCCGCTCGACCTTGGCTGACCTTCAACGCCTGGAGATCTACATATGGTTGGCACATCTTCACGGAAATCTTTTCGTCATTAACTCATGCTTTTTCCAGGCGATATCATATATGCTCGTCTGCTCAACAAGCCTGTCATCGTGATAAATTCTGAGGAGATCGCGAAAGACCTTTTTGAAGGGCGGTCCACCATATATTCAGATAAACCCCAGTCGATTGTTTACGAACCGTAAGTCACATCTTTGAGTATTGCTATACATCGATCACAAGGGTCGCGACTCGCGGTGTTGTCAGCTTCGCATTGGATTTCAATATAGGGCTCATGCCATATGGAGACAGGTAAGCTATTGGTGTATGTTATGTTGATGTTCCTGATGTCCAGAAGGTGGCGCCTGCACCGACGCATGTTTCATCAGGCATTTTGTCCAGCTGAGATGCCTACTTATCACGCTTTGCAACTCCGTTCCGCCCACAAAATGCTGTTTAGTCTTCTACAAGACCCAGACAATTATCCAAGCCATGTTAATATGTCGGTTGCAACAGTCTTTCTGGTTCATTGCTGAGGCTGATCTTCACCAGGCTCAGTGCTTCGTTTCTACTGTCTATTGTGTATGATTACGAAGTGAAAGCCGAGAACGACACCATCCTTCATGTCGTAGAAAATTATTCGAAACTGGCAGTCGAAGCGTTGACGCCAGGTGCTACTGTGGTGATGGAAACATTCCCTTTCCGTATGTTCACACATCCAATGATAGTCTGTGGTTACATCTCAACGGTCATTCTAGTGTTGAGGTTACCTAGCTGGTTTCCTGGTGCTACATTCAAGCGAGCATCAGTGGAATGTCTGAATGCAGGCCATGATGTGAAGGAGATACCCTTTCAATATGTCAAAGAGAGGATGGTGAATCGCCCCATTCATATTTGTGCAGCGAACTGACGAATGGCACGCAGTCCACCGGCGACGCGGCACCATGCTTTGTGACTGACACTTTGAACAGGACGAGGCTGTCTGTCGAGGACGACATAGTCATCACAACTGCAATTAAGGAGACTGCTGCCGTCGCATTTGGAGGTATATATGCTAAAGAACCGTATCTACTTGATGCTCATTTTACTTTTTTGTCTTCAGCGGGGTTTGAGACGGTATGCATTGCTTTGGTTTGTGTTTGACATAGTAATCATTTTGTCATTGGCCCAGACTACTTCCACGTTGCTTGTGTTCCTTCTTGCTATGGTACTCCACCCAGAAGCACAAGCCAAAGCGCACGCGGAGATTGATCGAGTCGTTGGCAAAGATAGACTTCCCTGTTTCGACGATAGGCCTGCGTTGCCTTTCGTGGAAGCTATTTTGCGTGAAACACTCAGGTGGCACCCTGTGGCTCCGTTCGGTCCGTCCACTATAACGCCAATTTTATGCCTTATTCTGATGATATACCAAGGCGTTCCGAGCGCAACAACGACTAGTGATATCTACAAAGGTTATTTCATCCCCAAAGGTTGGTATCATAATGTTCTAGTGAAGGTGGCTAATGACCTAGATTGTTAGGGGTTGTTGTATTTAAAAACGCATGGAAAGCCCGCAATATTTTATACTGAATTCGCTCGAATTGACCAATGATTCAGGGCGATGACACATGATGAGACGAAGTACCCCAGTCCTGATGAATTCAAGCCCGAACGGTTTCTCCATGATGATGGGTCCCTCACAAGCGACAGGATGCCTTTAGGCTTTGGCTGGGGTCGCCGGATGTGGTGAGCACATGTTTAATGCTTCTTCCCGCTTCACTGAAACCCGCTGGTCAGTGTGGGACGATATGTTGCAGACGCGTCACTCTGGATCGCGATGGCGAGCTTCTTGGCCGTTTTCTCGGCTCACAAGGCTCTTGATGATGACGGCATGGACATCCCAGTCGTTCCAAAGTTCTCCACTGGGATCGCTATGTTTGTAGAATCTCATTTATCTCTGAGACTAGCCTGTTAATCTCTTGTTATTTCAGTCATCCAGAGGAATTTCCCTGCCGCATTGTCCCGCGATTCCCGTGTACATCTGAGACATTGGAGCGCTTGACTGGCTTAGGTCCGTTGTCATCATCACCTCGGATTTATGACAGACTAACATGGTAGCAGAGCAATCGTGATCATGGTATGTAGGGTATCTATATCATGTACAGTAGCCCACGGAAATAGCTTTCTACTTTGACTAGGTAACACTCGTTCTTTGATTCAAGCATAAGGTACAAATGGAAGGCAGGTCAAAGTTGGGCGACATCATAAAATACGGTATGTCCAACTGGTCGAGGCTGGTATTCAATGAGTACGCCGTTGGACGACAATACAATCCTACCTCTAGCTGAAGATCTGCCAGTGGCAGTGTTTGCGCCGGTATTGTTGTAATTCGCTCGTGCAAGTTTCTACGAGATCACGTTAAGTCGCTAAACCTGTCCTGAACGGGACTCTCACTCAAAATGGAATTATGTAATTGATTATCGATAATGTTTAGACAAGAGGCCAGGACGAGGTTTAGGAGCATGTAGTACGCTGCATGGCGCGCGCCGTAAGTACCAATCCCGTCTGGGAGAGGTTTAGCGACGCTTAGGATCCCACATGGCAGATTCTGGTAACCTGTTATCATTCGGACCTTTCTTGGTTCCTTCGAACGACTTCAACCCCTGAGCATTTAAAGTCCGGACGCCCTCACGTCATTCACAATGAAAAGACCCCAGACTCTGCCCAACATCTTCGCTTCAAGTTAATGTTGCAGCCAGTATAATCCTCAACGTCAACCGTGTATCCCCATTGGCCGCATGGCCCCCCAGTACCGTCTGTTCTTCGTTAACATATCTCCTTCGTTATTGGACGCGGTGCTTCCTATTGCTGACGTGGCAGTTAAACTTCGTTAGGATGTCGTGTTATTTGTATCTTAGCATATAGCTCAATGAATACAATTATACGATGGATAATCTTATACAAGAGCACGTGTCCAACCACCGTAGCATAAAGTGTGCCTTGAGTCCTGGAGCACGACGGGAGCAGTGAAAGTTACGGAAGAATGAAGTTTGGTACGATGAAGTGTCACACATGCGATAAAGTGGGAATTTTACTTGCGAGTTAGAAGAAGAGGAGGGGTAATCTAGACAAGCAAAAAGATGGGCAATGAAGAGCACACAGCCGCGTCGCAAGCCTATTCATGGCCGTAAAATGCATCAGAGTGTCTTGTCGTAGGTTAAGTAGACTGAGGTTTGCGTGGCGCCTAGGCTATGGCATCATCATCCACACAGTGCACCATTGAAAGTACTGAACCGTGAGATGGGAACATCGGCGAGGTGGAGTGGAACGAGTGAGTCATCAAACTCGCTAGTCACGAGTGCAGTGATATGATTGTGTATATTATACCGTGGCCATAAACACGACTCCGGTACTCCTCCAATACCTGGTCGAAGGGCATTAACAAACAAGTGCGTAGGATGGCACTGGCGTGAATGATACAGTTATCCGGGGCGCTGGTTGCTGCTGCAGTGCATCACGATGTGTGGTGTAATGTTGGGAATTGCAATGCTGGTGTTCGTTTTGTGCCGCTGAATTTTGCGTGACATGGCGGTGCCCCGATAGGGCTAAATCACCGTTAAAATTTGAATGGCATGAGTGAAGATGCATACCTTGACGAGTGATACTTCTCGATGGACGGTAGGTATGAGTGGAATCACGATCACGAGTGCCAATGCCCAGTGACGCGTGGATATCCAAGTCAATACTCTGCGCCACTCGGTTGTCAAAAGCGCGTCCTCTCAAGCTTTTCCCGTACTTCGACATTGTAGCACTCCAAAATCAGCAATGGTGCATCCCCAGCGAGGCGGTGCCGTCCGTAATGTTTCTATTCGTCGTCATCGTTGTCGTCGACGTCGTCGCCGAGGCACAGGTAATAGTATTCCCTGTCAGTATTTGAACTCTGTTAACACAAATGCTACCATAGCTACGCATGTGCCGGTGCTGCTGGTGCAACAACTCCGCCGCACATCTGCTGACGTACATGTCGCCAGTGGTTCTACTAGTATCTTCGCTGACGAACCAGCGAGTCTGTCTATGATATAGCAGCAGATACCGCACTCGGGAGTCGGCAGAGTATCACCCAGTATGACGGTGTTGGGTTGCTGAAGTCATGCGGAAGCTGTCGACGGATGTTTACAGCGAGTGCGTTTCGGGCCCGCATCCCAGTCTGCTCGGATAGTTGAATGTTATATATATTAACAAGCCTGCATTTGTTACAAAGTGTTAATAAAGGAGAGGTAATATACTCAGAATGCAGGAAGTTAACATGTCGAAGAGGGTGACGAGGAGAAGATCGAACTGACGAAGCTGAATATCAAAATGGGGGGAAGAAGTGTGCGGAGTGCAGAGGATATGTTATATGGTGACTACGACATTAAGCTTGAATCGAAGATGTGACTTGAACAGAGTCTGGGGTCTTTTCGTTGTACATGATCAAATGACGTAAGGACTTTGTTTGCTCAGGGTTTGAAATTTGAAGCTTGAAAGGTCCGAATGATAACAGGCCTAGCTGTTTGTAGGAACCGAGCAACTTAAGTCCGACTGATAACAGTGTACCATATATGAAAAACTTCATGACTTCAACACACCTTCCTCCTCCTAGGTTTAAGTACCCAATAGACAGCCAGACCCGCATCTGACGATGTTCGACGACGGACCTGGACTTTACTTGGCCACATCGGCCTTGGCACTAACTTTTTTAAGCTATTGTCGAAAATATTGGCTCAATCGTTTGTGTCCTCCCCTGCCGCCTGGTCCTACCCCCCTCCCAATTGTAGGAAATGTTCTCAGTCTTGATGCCGCTCGACCTTGGCTGACCTTCAACGCCTGGAAATCCACATATGGTTGGTACATTTTGATGGAAATCTGTTCGTCATTAACTCATGTTTTTTCCAGGCGATATCATATATGCTCGTCTGCTCAACAAGCCTGTCATCGTGATAAATTCTGAGGAGATTGCGAAAGACCTTTTTGATGGGCGGTCCAATATATATTCGGATAAACCCCAGTCGATTGTTTACGAACCGTAAGTTATATCTTTGAGTATTGCTATACATCGATCACGAGGGTGTTGTCAGCTTCGCGTCGGACTTCAACACAGCGCTCTTGCCATATGGAGACAGGTAAGCTATTGTTACGTGTTATGTTGGTGCTTCCTGATGTCCAGAAGGTGGCGCCTGCACCGACGGATGTTTCATCAGGCATTTCGTCAAGCTGAGATACCTGCTTATCACGCTTTGCAACTCCGTTCCGCCCACAAAATGTTGTTTAGTTTTCTACAAGACCCAGGCAATTATCCAAGCCATGTTAAGATGTCGGTTGTAACAGCCTTTCTTGTCCACTGCTGAGGCTGATCTTCACCAGGTTCGGTGCTTCGTTTATAATGTCTATTGTGTATGATTACGAAGTGAAAGCCGAGGATGACACCATCCTTCATGTCATAGAAAAGTATGTGGAACTGATAGTTGAAGCGTTGACGCCAGGCGCTACTGTGGTAATGGAAACATTCCCTTTCCGTATGTTCACATATCCAATGATAGCCTGTGGTTACATCTCAACGCCTGTTCTAGTTTTGAGGCTACCTAGCTGGTTTCCTGGTGCCACATTCAAGCGAGCATCATTGGAGTGTCTGAATGCAGGCCATGATGTGAAGGAGATACCCTTTCAACATGTCAAAGAGAGGATGGTGAATCGCCCCATTCATATTTGTGCAGCGAACTGACGAATGGCACGCAGTCCACGGGCGACGCGGCACCGTGCTTTGTGACTGAGAATTTGAACAGGACGAGGCTTTCTGATAAGGACGACATAGTCATTACAACTGCAATCAAGGAGACTGCTGCCATCGCATTTGCAGGTATATATGCTAAAGAACCATATTCCCTCGATGCTCATCTTACTTTTGTCTCCAGGGGGGGTTGAAACGGTATGTATTACTTTGGTTTGTGTTTGACATGGTAATCATTTTGCTATCGGCTCAGACTTCTTCCACGTTGCTTGTTTTCCTTCTTGCTATGGTACTCCACCCAGAAGCACAAGCCAAAGCGCATGCGGAGATTGATCGAGTCGTTGGCAAAGATAGACTTCCCTGTTTCGATGATAGGCCTGCGTTGCCTTTCGTGGAAGCTATTTTGCGTGAAACACTCAGGTGGTGTCCTGTGTTTCCGTTCGGTCCGTCCACTATAACGCCAATTTCACGCCTTGTTCTGATGATGTATCAAGGCGCTCCGAGCGCAACAACGACTAGTGATATCTACAAAGGTTATTTCATCCCTAAAGGTCAGGATCATACTGTTCTGGCGAAGGTGGCTAATGACCCAGATTATCAGGGGTTGTTGTGTTTAAAAATGCATGGAAAGCCTGCAATATTTTTATACTGAATCCGCTCGAATTGACCAATGATTCAGGGCGATGACACATGATGAAACGAAGTACCCCAGTCCTGACGAATTCAAGCCCGAACGATTTCTCCATGATGATGGGTCCCTCACAAGCGACAGGATGCATTTAGGCTTTGGCTGGGGTCGCCGCATGTGGTGAGCATATGTTTGGTGCTTCTTCACTCTCCACTGAAAGCCGCTGGTCAGTGTGGGACGACATGTCGCAGACGCGTCACTCTGGATCGCGATGGCGAGCTTCTTGGCCGTTTTCTCGGCCCACAAAGCTCTTGATGATCATGGCATGGACATCCCGGTCATTCCAAAGTTCTCCACTGGGCTCGCTATGTTTGTAGAACATTATCTGTCCCCGAAATTAGCCTGCTAATATCTTGTTATTTCAGTCATCCAGAAGAATTTCCCTACCGCATTGTCCCGCGATTCTCGTGTACATCTGAGACATTGAAGCACTTGACTGGATTAGGTCCGTTGTCACTATGATCTCGGATTTTTGACAGACTAACATGGTAACAGAGCAATTGTGATCATGGGTTGTAGGGTATCTATATCATGTACAGTAGCCTACGGAAGTAGCCCACTATGCAACACTCGTTCTTTAATTCAAGCATAAGGTACAAATGCGAGGCAGGTCATGAAGATGGAGGACATTATAAAACACAGTATGTCCAACTGGTCGAGACTGCTATTTGATGAGTACACTGTTGGACGACAATACAATCCTACCTCTAACTGGAGAGGCAGTGATGCGTTTACGGTGTTGCTGTCATTTACGATGTAGCCTCGTCGCGCGAGTTTTCATGGATTGCGATAAGTTGCTCGGTGAGGTTGACCTAAAGGAGCCTAAAGGGCTTTTCTACTATCTACGTGATTCGATATGCTGCCCATCAAGGTGGCGAGATAGATTGCAGTCTGCCCGCTTTTGCGGTAGTTGATGATGCTGTCAGAGGCGAGAGCTTTATTTGAAGTGCTCCGCGGCACCTGCATCAGCAATGTAAACTTATTCCATCTCGAAAAGTGCAGGTTTTTTCGAAAGACTTCTAAATGAGTCAATACAGTCTATAACTTCGATGGCTATCGATACATATCCCTCCCCTTCTTTCGATTTTCAATGGGGTTCAGTGTTCGAACGCCAAACCGAACGTGATTCGAACATCCTGAACATCACGGTGTTTGAGCACGTTGGGTTCAGCATTCAGCAACATCGCTGAACTAAGTATGACCACCAAACTTACGATGCCGAAATTATTCCCAGTGGTCAGTATCACACATTTGTGCTCAGGCTTTTTTGGTATATTTATGATGTGTATGGCTCACTGGTAGTTAACTACATTTGCCCTACTTGGGCTGTGGCTCAGGCCAGAGCCGTATGAGGCTAGGCCAAAGCTGGACCGGCACTGGCACCGAGGAACCGTTTCTGGTCCGTTCACATGTCAGGTATTGATCGTCCAGCACTCACACATGGTGTGCAACAGCGGGGCTTCGACTGTTCGACACCCTCGGTTTAGTCCAATATAAATACTAGACTTCCGAGTCGACACACCTTCCTCCAGGTTTAAGTACCCAATAGACGGCCAGATCCATCTAACGATGAAGTTCGACGACGGACCTGGGCTTTACTTAGCCAAATCAGGCTAGGCGCCAGGTAGTCGAGACTCGTAACTGCAAACAAGGATTGATGGGAAGAGACAACGAAGGAGATGTTGACTACGAGCGCGATGGGGATCTGGTGCTGGATCTTGACACGGACGTGCCGCCCGGTCTTGAGCTTGATACGCTGTCCCGAAAAAATTAAATTACCAATCGCAACGGCCAAGGTAGGCTGCAGGAAGGAGCAGGAGCAGGATTGGTGTCAAGGGTTATAGGCAGGATGCAGAGAGATGGCGGCCTTCGCGGGCACTAGAATTGGAGAAAGAAGGCATAGGATGCTGCGCAAGGACAGCGAGCTCGAGTAGGACAACGAAAATATGATAATTCCCGCTAACGTAAGGGAGTGGGTCTTATAGCGCGCTATTTTCACGCTTTCATGTCGTACACGGGGGTATGGCGCCTGGGACACGGTGGCTGTGCGACGACCCCGGATAGCGTGCGCTCGCTGTGTGTGTCGATCAGCGGAGGCTAATGTATGGGGAGGAAGCCGGCGGGAACGTTAGCGTCAATGATGGCATGTAGTACAGGGCGCGAGGCAATATACAACCCGCGAGGCACATGCTGTAAACGCCTCGGGTAAGCAGAAATTTGACTTCGGCTGCCGACAAAGGCTGCGCGTCCCATGCAGACGAAAAATCGAGTCTGGCTCTGACCTGAGCTCCTGCCAAAAAACGCGTGTCCCAGAGCGAGAAATGAGGATTCTTGCCTGGGACACTGTAAGCCCGCTGAGTTCCTATAATCCGCATTATTAAATACTGTCTGCGGTGATCAATCGCGAGCGCGTGAGCTTTGATTATCACTGGCCTAACGGTTAAGGCCTAAGGGACGACAGTCTTGACTACTTACAGACACACGGGTTTCGCGGTGGAGCTAGTGCCAGATGAAATGTCGTGATTTGGCAGTCCATCATTTGTGCCGTCATTACCTCTGCAGCAGCTCAAAAACTCGAATTTTGCGGCTAGAAAATCGTCCCTTACATGGCGCAGTATACCACACGCTCCTACGACATACCCAGAATTTTCCGGCATGAAAACGGTGCAGAAAACACGTATCCATGCTCGAACGCGCCTTCTTAACGGTGGAGGTCTTCGACAATCACGTGACCTGGAAATTCCCGGCGCGTTACCTCTACAGAGCGAATCAGCGATGTAAAGGTTGCATCCTTTAATTACATCAGTGATCTAGCAGTTCGGCTCTTTTCGTTGTGAGGAGGGTTTCATGAAGTTGTTTGAAGAAACCGAGTAAGGTCCGACTGATAACAGGATACCATGAATTCATAAATACTTCAAAGCACCTTCAAGCTCCTAGGTTTAAGTACCCAATAGACAGCCAGACTCATCTAACGATGTTCGACGACGGACCTGGACTTTACTTGGCCACATTGGCCTTGACACTAGCTTTTTTAAGCTATTGTCGAAAATATTGGCTCAATCGTTCATGTCCTCCCCTGCCGCCTGGTCCTACCCCCCTCCCAATAGTGGGCAATGTTCTTAGTCTTGATGCCGCTCGACCTTGGCTGACCTTCAACGCCTGGAAATCCACATATGGTTGGTACATTTTGATGGAAATCTGTTCGTCATTAACTCATGTTTTTTCCAGGCGATATCATATATGCTCGTCTGCTCAACAAGCCTGTCATCGTGATAAATTCTGAGGAGATTGCGAAAGACCTTTTTGATGGGCGGTCCAATATATATTCGGATAAACCCCAGTCGATTGTTTACGAACCGTAAGTCACATCTTTGAGTATTGCTACGCATCGATCACGAGGGTGTTGTCAGCTTCGCGTCGGACTTCAACACAGCGCTCTTGCCATATGGAGACAGGTAAGCTATTGTTGCGTGTTACGTTCGTGTTCCTGATGTCCAGGAGGTGGCGCCTGCACCGACGCATATTTCATCAGGCATTTCGTCAAGCTGAGATACCTACTTATCACGCTTTGCAACTTCGTTCCGCCCACAAAATGCTGTTCAATATTTTACATGACCCAGGCAATTACCCAAGCCATGTTAAGATGTCGGTTGTAACAGCCTTTCTGGTCCACTGTTGAGGCTGATCTTCACCAGGTTCGGTGCTTCGTTTCTACTGTCTGTTGTGTATGATTACGAAGTGAAAGCCGAGAACGACGCCATCCTTCATGTCGTAGAAAGGTATTTGGAACAAATCGTAGAAGCGCTGGCGCCAGGTCCTACTGTGGTAATGGAAACATTCCCTTTCCGTATGTTCACACATCCACTGTACGGTAGCCTGTGGTTGCATCTCAACGGTCATTCTAGTTTTGAGGCTACCAAGCTGGTTTCCTGGTGCCAAATTCAAGCGAGCATCAGTGAAGTGTCTGAAAGCAGGCCGTGATGTGAAGGAGATACCCTTTCAACATGTCAAAGAGAGGATGGTAAATCGCCCCATCCATATCGGTGCGGTGAACTGACGAATGACACGCAGTCCACCGGCGACGCGGCACCATGCTTTGTGGCTGATACTTTGAACAGGATGAGGCTGTCTGTTGAGGACGACATCGTCGTTACAACCGCAATCAAGGAGGCCGCTACTATCGCACTTGCAGGTATATATGCTAAAGAACCGTATCCCCTCGATGTTCATTTTACTTTTTGTCTTCAGGGGGGTTTGAAACGGTATGCATTACTTTGGTTTGTGCTTGACATGGTAATCATTTTGCCATCGGCTCAGATTGCTTCTACGTTACTTGTGTTCCTTCTTGCTATGGTACTCCACCCAGAGGCGCAAGCCAGAGCGCACGCGGAGATTGATCGAGTCGTTGGCAAAGATAGACTCCCCGGTTTCGACGATAGGCCTGCGTTGCCTTACGTGGAAGCTATTTTGCGTGAAACACTCAGGTGGTATCCTGTGTTTCCGTTCGGTCCGTCTACTATAATGCCAATTTTAAGCCACGCTCTGATGATGTACCAAGGCATTCCGAGCGCAACAACGACTAGTGATATCTACAAAGGTCATTTCATCCCTAAAGGTTGGTATTATAATGTTCTAGCGAAGGTAGCTAATGACCCAGATTATCAGGGGTTGTTGTGTTTAAAAATGCATGGAAAGCCTGCAATATTTTTATACTGAATCAGCTCAAAATGACCAGTGATTTAGGGCGATGACACATGATGAGACGAAGTACCCCAGTCCTGATGAATTCAATCCCGAACGATTTCTCCATGATGATGGGTCCGTCACCAGCGACAGGATGCATTTAGGCTTTGGCTGGGGTCGCCGGATGTGGTGAGCACATGTCTAGTGCTTCTTCACTCTCCACTGAAGGCCGCTGGTCAGTGCGGGACGACATGTCGCAGATGCGTCACTCTGGATCGCGATCGCGAACTTCCTGGCCGTTTTCTCTGCCCACAAGGCTCTTGATGATCACGGCATAGACATCCCAGTCATTCCAAAGTTCACCGCTGGGCTCACTATGTTTGTAGAACCTCATTTGTCCCCGAAACTAGCCTGCTAATATCTTGTTATTTCAGTCATCCAGAAGAATTTCCCTACCGCATTGTTCCGCGATTCCCATGTACATCTGAAATATTGACGCACTTGACTGGGTCAGGTCCGTTTGTCGCCATCATCTCGGATTTCTGACAGACTGACATGCAGTAACAGAGCAATTGTGATTATGCTATGTAGATTATCTATATCATGTACAGTAGCTCACGGAGATATACGGCTTTCTACTTTGACTATGCAGCACTCGTTCTTTAATTCAAGCATAAGGTACAAATGCGAGGCAGGTCAAAGTTGGCGGCCATCATAAACACGGTACGTCAAACTGGTCGAGGTTGGTATTCAAGTACGCTGTCGGACGACAACACAATGCTACCTCTAGCTGGGGAGGTAGTAATGTATTTGCGGTGCTGTTGTAATTGACGATGCAGCCTCCGTCGCGCGAGTTTCTACGGGATTATATTGCGTCGCTCGGTGAGATTGACCTAAAGGGCTTTTCTACTATCTACATTATTTGGTATGCCGCCCTTCAAGGTGGCGAGATAGATGGCAGTCTGCTTGTTTTTGCGGTAGTTGATGCTGCTATCTGAGGCGAGGGCTTCATTTCAAGTGCTCTGCAGCACCTGAGGCGACGAAGAGGCGCCTCTCGCCCTGTTGTATGGATTGTTGCCAAGAAAGGGTTGCGGCCAAGAACTTTGTGTTCATCGGTAGAAGGTGGGGCCTCTAGGCGATGACGGTCCCCAAGATAATGATTCAGTCGGGGAAACGAAAGAGAATCGAGAGCAGGTCGCCAGGAAAGCTGAAAGGGTATGAGTCAATTTGAGCTCGAGCATACCAGCCCCACCACTCAAGTACTCAAGAATAGTCCACGGGCCACCCTGCAGTACATACCATATATTGTTTCGACTTCGGAAATTACCCGAAATTGGCACGAGGATGTCATGGGGCGCACACCAGTACATGAAGTTGGGCTGTAAAAAAACCCGGCTGGGAGGACTTCTGCATCACCGCTCTCGAGTTCTATTGGACATCTGTGAGTATCTGAAACCAAAATAATATCATGTGGCAGTCAACAATCGTCATAATCGCTGCAGTATCAATGCTGACTAGGACTCTGGCACTCCTCATGTCTGCTCACAGATATCGAACCTCAGACATGGTAGGCGATCATGAACTAGATCATTATGGGAGTCAAGGAACATCGCGACATCGCGACACAGCCCGAGTGCTGACGACACCGCAAAAATGTATATGCTTTATCTCACCACTCACATAAAGCGACGAATTCCTAGCATGCAGGTACTTGCAGTCCTTCTTCTACTCGTCCCACTGAGAGTAATTATATGCATAACGAGTATGGATCTAAGCTTTGAGCTGAGAACGCAAGTTCTGCTCCAAGGGGCCTCTAGCACGAATAAACTGTACATAAGCTCCATCCCTGCATAACAGAAGTGTCAATATAAAAATTCGCCAGACAACCTAAAATGATACGCACTGCACCACTCTCTTCTCCTCCTTGAGCTTCATGTAGTCCTCACGGGCCACATTCGTGAAGCCCCACTTCTTCGAGACAATGATTTTCTGACGGCCGGGGAACTTGTACCGTGCACGGCGGAGAGCCTCTTGGATGACAGCAGCATTGGATTCCTTGCAGCGGATAGAGAGGATGATCTGGCCGATGTTGACACGGGCGACAGTGCCGTAGGGCTTACCCCAAGCACCACGCATACCGGTTTGTAGCCTGCACGAAAAAAGTCTAAGACTCGTACCACGAATTCGAAATAAAGCCACGGACCGATCAGCGCCAGCACAACTCAACATCTTGTTAATGCGGATGACGTGGAATGGGTGCACACGGACGCGCATGTGGAACGAATCCTTGCCGGATGTCTTGGTGACGTACTTGTTGGCGCAAATGCGAGCTGCTTCCAGGGCCTCAGAGCTCAGCTGCTCGTACTCATCAGAGACAAGATGGCAGCAGAAGGGGAACTCGTCGACAGAAGCACGTTTACGGCCGAGGTCGAAGATCCTGATCTGTGGAGAGGTGAGGATGTGAGCGACGAGTCGCGGGTGAACAAACTTTAGGATCAGGGACACCACGGTTATACCGTGATTTGGGGTAGGGCTTGTTCTTGCAGTAACGGTAGCAGCGGGCGGGACGACGACCCATTGTTGTGATCTGCAATAGATAGAAGGAGTTGAAGTCAGTACCCAATGCATGGTATTACAGAATCATATCCAAAGCAATCGGATGGCATCCACCCCAACCACTCGAAGTCCACTACTCCTTCCAGTTCAAATCGCATCGAACCAGCCATGCTGAGACGAGCACGCGGAACAGCAACACTCACATTCTACACGGGGGTCTTGACGGTGAGTGAGAAGGTACGGTGGTGCCAGACGAGCCCGTCCGCTAAATCTTAGATAATCAAGCTGACTTTGAACTACTCAACTTAGTTACTAACGAGATTTATAATAGGGCCAGGTAAACAGAGGTTTGTCAGGATTTGTCACTCCGCAGGGTGAGTTTACTGTGTTTATTCTCCATTATCATCTAAGCCAATCACTCTGTCAGCTTCGCTGCGGACTTGAACGTCGGATTTGCGGCACGGCGTATGGAAATAGAAAAACTTTTGGGAGTCAGGTGCAGCCTCAGTGGTAACATGATTCACATGAAGCCTTCCCTTCACCTGTTAAGTGCCAAGTACTAAGTACCCATCAGTGCAAATTGGCGAGTGCCACCGTAAAGAAGGTCCCAACTGCTTGAGCGTGCTGAATTTTCCTCACGAAACACAAGGCATAGGCTAGTTGGGTAATGATCGGTCGAACGGTGCATAACATTCGAGCTTTTCGTCGCTGACAATGTACAGGTCAGTGTCGGAGAGGTATCAAGTACAAAATTGGTCGTTGGGACGCTGTCTCACAACATAATCTTTTATCTCTGATACTACAGAATTGAACTCGGGCCCCGAGGACCAGGCCAAGGTGAGCCTACAAGCTGCAAGCTCGAACCACGCGTGTTGGGGCTGTGAAAAATGCTAGCGCTGTGCGTCACAGTCACTCCGGGTGTGTGCAGAACCGCCATACTCACATCATGTGCTCACGAACGCAGCATGTCACATGGTCAAGTCAATGCCTATTTCTGTTTCAAGCTTGTCAGAAAACAAGAAAAATCAGCTTAGGCCTCGATCAACGTTTTTGCACAGATTACCTGATCCTCCTGTTGTGCAGTTGGATGTAGGGATTCTTCCAAGTACTCCTCCAAGGATATAAAGTAATTCGGGCTATGACCACGGGCGAGTGCCGGGTACACAGTCTGTTTGAAGTGCTTCAAGTTAACCCGTTTCCCACCAGTCTGCATAAATGCTCTCCCGACAAGCCAAGACTAGGTTTCTCGTGACTTGGCGAACATGGGGTCCGCGTATATATACAGTCGCTATTTTCAGTTTTTCCTAGCCCAGAATGCCATCTGAATCCGAGCCTCGAATGCTTTACACAGCCCCACAACAGGACAAGGAGGGCTCAGAGACATTGGAAGGATCCAATTTCGCCAAGGACTCCAACCTTTCCTCACACCCGCATGAATTTCCCGAAGGTGGTCTGGCTGCTTGGATGACAACTTTTGGAGCGTAAGAAGCTCAAATCCTGGCGGTAAAGCTAGGCCTTACTTGATCTGCTTAGCTTTCTTGTACAGTTGTGCGGGTTTGGGTGAGTCTGGTGCTACCTGTTGTTGTTAACGAAGAATGGCCCTTGACTGCAGGTTAAAGTTATACTAACTCATTTGGTGTCTACCAAGGTATTGCTGTATATGAAAGTGAGAATGGAATATCATACTTATTACCCTCCAGACTTCTATACCCAGCATTACCTTACAAACGAGACATCGTCTGCCATATCGTGAGTTTCCATTTGTGTCTTCATGAGCGTATGCTAAGGTCTTTAAAAGATGGATCGGGAGCCTGAACACGTTTTTAGTCACCGCTGTGGGCCTTATATCAGGTTCACTATATGACCGAGGATATTTGTGGGTGTAGCTTTGTTGGAAGTTTTAAGGATACTCAGCAAACTTACCTAGCTACCACCTAGTAATTGCTGGATCGCTTCTGCAGAGTTTTTCTCTCTTCATGTTGTCTTTGTCAAAACCCGATCAGTACTATCAGGTAACGTCTCCTAACTTTACGACCTCATTTTCTGATTTAGTGTAGATATTCCTGGCTCAAGGTGTAGGCATGGGTATCGCGTTGGGGCTCGTGTATGTCCCGAGCCTAGCTGTCGTTTCGCATTATTTCCGACGGAGACGCACACTGGCTATGACGTTCGTCGCTTCGGGCTCTTCTCTGGGTGCTGTCATCCATCCGATTATGCTCAATAACCTCCTGAATGGTCGTCTTGGTTTTGGAAATGGCGTCCGTGCAAGCGCAGGGTTTGTCAGCGTGCTCCTGTTGATTGCATGCCTATGCATGCGAACTCGCCTTGATCCGCCGATGACATCAGTGAACTATATTGTGGCAGCTAAAAAATGCATTCGTGATGTACCATTTATTTTTGCGATAGCAGGGTGAGACTTCAGCACACATTCTCTCAAAATGCTTCAAATAACTGTCCGCAGGGGCTTTTTTTTTCAGACTGGCTTGTACTACCCGTTGTTCTTCATTCAACTTGACTCTATCAGGCACGGTCTTAGTGTCACCTTCTCGTTTTACTCTGTGGGGTACAGCGCTATGCAAGTGATTTGCCTGCTGACAGCACCACTAGTTAGTGATTTTAAACGTGTCTAATTGTGTGGCACGAGTCATGTCAGGGTTCATCGCGGCGTTCACGGGAGTCCCAAACTTAATCATAGTTGCAACAATTTCGGGCGGTGTGCTCATTTTGGGCATGATTGGATTGAATAGCCTGGCCAGCGTCGTTGTACTTGGTGTGATGTATGGCTATTGTGCAGGGCTGTGTAAGTAGTTTTTTTTGCACTGGGTGAAAATTTCTTGATGGATTGATCGATGCAGATATTGCGATGGTAGGTCCGCTTGTGGCTACTTTAACGCCCGACCTCTCTGAGCTTGGGTGAGCAATAGTTTAAATTCGGATGTACGAACCATCTAATTTGGATCATAGCGCGCGGATGAGCATCTGTTTCTTCATTGGCGGTGGGTAGTATCAGCTACACTTCTACATCATCTAAAACTCGCATGCAATTACTGCAGGATTTGGAGGCTTGATCGGTGGGCGCCTCTGCCATTTCATGTCTCTAATTCTAATTCTTTAACAGGAACACCCATTTCTGGTGCCCTACTGACATCGAATTATACCTGGTGGATACCCGCTGTGTTCTCCTGGGGTGAGTTGACCATGGCTACTGTTTTCTCCAGAAGTTCACATCAACTCAACAACAGGTCGCTTCAATGACTGGTGGTGTGATGTATATGATCATGCGGTTTATATTTGTCAGAAGGCAGATCAATCAAGGAAAAGCATAATGCTCAACTTTAGATAGTAGATATTGTAAGCTGATTCCTGAGGGAAGCTGTGATTTGATATGTTTGACTGCATTGTTCACTGAGTTATTCCATGGTTTTATGTAACATGGATACTAGGTGATTTTTGGTGCGCTCAGTTGACTGATGGTGTTTGTACAAGCTCTACTGGCATCTTGATTGCCATGCTTGACTTGCACTCTGTAAACTGGCACCAATTGGATCACTTTGAGTCAACACTAGATCGACTGTTCTCTCCAAATGCATCTTTCTCTTGTGTGATGCCACCGATGGCCCGATGTTGTAGTACCAGTGCTATGTAGTAGTGTCGTCCATGCTGTCACCATCCACTTGTTCAAGGCATGTGCAAGATGGGAGTACTGTTGTGGTTATGGTATGTGTAGTCGTATTGTCGTCGAGTATGAGACTCTGAGAGGCGTGGGCCAAGCATGGTGTTGTGTCTGACATTTTTATATTTTACTTCAATATAAATTACCCCTTTCTGCCTACTTGATTTGTTGTGGTCTGTATACGTACAGATCCAGAGCAGTTGTTTGGCAAGAGCCCTGGAAATAAACAACGCGTTGGTCGACACTAGGGATCATCACAGGTAAACCTGCAGGTGTCCCAAGGTCAAACCGGTACCCATACCCACCACTGGGTACAGGTACAGACCGATGAGACAGGGAGAACTGAGACCTGACAAGATGGGGAGAACAAGAATGATGAGACCAATGAGACTGATGAGACCGACAAGACAGGGAGAACGAGACCATCAAGACAGGGAGAGACATATGGAGAATGAGACCATCAAGATGGAGAGAATGAGACTGATGAGACAGGGAGAATGAGACGAGATGGGGAGAACAAGACCGACAAGATGGAGAGAACAAGACTGACAAGATGGGAAGAACAAGACTGATGAGACAGGGAGAACAAGATGGAGAGAACAAGACTGACAAGACAGGAAGAATGAGAACGACAAGACAGGGAGAATAAGACTGACAAGACAAGAAGGACAAGGTAGTTAGCAGTATGAAATATACAGTACATGCACCTTGGAGAGCAGGAAACAGATGGGATAAGACTGGAGTGATGGATAGCAGACTGCTGCGCAGATGACAACGAGTGATGAAAGCATGACTGCAACTCGGAAAAGAGTTAGAATTAGTAGCTTTGGTACAATTGGTGCAGAAATGGTACTTGAACAAACATCAAAATAATTACTATATATGGAAGTGACAGGTATGTGGTGGGTCATGTGTCTCAAAATCCAGACCTGTACCCATACCTGTGATGATCCCTAGTTGACACCTGTTAATGCATTACTCTACATTGAGTACTAGTTCTACCTAATACTTGGTGCCGAATATCTGACTAATGTTGATTTGATGATGCAAGCAAACATCATGAAAGACCTACTATCTCTTCTGCATGAGCAGGAGCATCACAATACAGGTGTTCGCCCCAATACCAACAAATATGATTTGCCTTTTGAAGAGGATGCAGCACTGCAGGTTTCTAGTTGAGCAAAATTGGATGTATACAATGTATCATGTACACATTGCAATGATGTATGCATCAGAGTCTGCAGACTTTCATAGTACCCAGATATTTTCAGCCACTCCTGCAGCCAGTCCATCTTGAAAGTCGGAATACTTATCATGGCCTTGATGAGTTGACCATGCCTTCCAGAGTGCTTCCAAAGCAGGCAATACTAGATGTAGTGTGGGGCCTTGGTCAGCTGAAAATGCCTACTGAGCTGTTATCAGCATGCTTCTTGCATGTAAAGTACAGGTATGTGTCCAGTACTGAAGCACTCACACTTAGAAGGTCAAGTAAAAGCTTGACTCAGTTCCATTCAGACACTGTAAGCTCGAGATCAGTGATCTTCTCTTGTGCTTGTGTGGGATCCTTCTCAAGATGTCCCATCCTGACCTGATGAAGTAGTCTACATCCTACCAGAAAGACAAGCACATCAGATAGCAGAAAGGTTAGGACCAATAATCAACATACATCCTTGAGCTTCTCTGTTTGCTCAAGCATGACATAAGTTGATGACCAATGAACTTTCATATCCATTAACAGTTGCCTGGACCCCTTGGCAGCTGAATATTGTGGAAAAGCTCTTTGTGCTGGGCCAAAGAGTGTTCCTATTGAGTATACCTTTGGTCAGTCATGAAGTAAGAAAAGGAATATAAAACCAAACCTTAACACATATAGCACAAACCAATCCAACCTCATCACGCTGCGTTCCCCATGAAGCAACCAGGTCCACATCAGGCTTTGTTGGACTGAAATGTTCAGACTTGCTGTGGGCTGTGAGCAATGCCTGTGTTGCAAGGCTAATGATATGTGTGAGGCAGCTAAGGGAGATGTCAAGTTAGTGATATGTGCGAGGCAGCTAAGAAATGTGTACCGTAGACATCATTTCTTATGGTCATATGTCTTCTTTGTGAATTCTTCAATATGCATACCAAAATGGGCCATCATGGTATTGTTATTCATGGCATTATTGCAGGTAACATAGCCAATCTATGAACTTGTCAGTGTCATAAATGTGAATGAAATGTTTGTGCTGTACCTTATGGGCAATACCAACTCACTTTCGCGATCTTGAAAAGGGCCTGTCCAAGCTGCATCCCACTGTATGCATTGTTGAGGTGGGTGAAACAAAGAAGAGCAGTTTGTACCTTCCATTCGCATGGCAACAACTGCTCGACCCAGGATCCTGTAACAGCAAAGTAGCTATCAACATTCTCTGCTTGCCATGCATCACATGTGAGGTTGACTTGGCCTTTGACCACCTCACTCTAAAATGATTAGGCATTAGCAGGCTAAGAGGACATGGATCGGGATACATACCAGTAGCCAGTTGCGAAGGTTGGTAAGATTACATTTGAAAAGAGCAATAATAGCCCGCCATATCTGTCGTTGACCAGGTATTTTGACCTCATTGGTGGCTTCGCACAGCTGTGTCAATCATGTATTTGAAAGACTTATGAATTTAGCACCTCAATAGGCTGGGGTGAACACATAAGCATGTTTTTGTATAGATGACAAGTAGAAATGGTATATCTGATCTGTTTCGATTAGCCATTGGATAGCGGCCTCCTGGAAGAGTGCATCTGAATAGGGTACAACACAATCCTTGGGTTTCTTCTCAGAAAGGTGGGCATTGAGTCGAGCTTGAGATTCTGCAACAGCATCTAGCTTGTGACACTTCATGTCCCTCAGTAGCATTGATGTAAATTTGCTGGACATCCGCCCACTGGATGTATTCACTCTGTGAATGAACAAAGTCAATCCCACACACCATCATATCATCAGAAGTGCTCACCCGATGTAAAGCATTCCATGTGACAGTGCATCGTCGTAACCTCATTGACAAAAGCAACAGGTTTCTTCATTTTTTTTTGCTATCACATAGTTAGTCATAGTAGAACACAAGTGAGACAAATGAGACTTTACCTGCACAGCACAATGGTGGTGCTTCTTGCCTTTATCATCAGAGTAAGGTGCTGAAATTTTTTTGTTGATGTCACGGCTTTGCTGCTCTTGGCGCAACTTTTCAGGCTCATCAATGTCCATAACTTGCACATCCTTTAGAAATCTGTCTGCATCAAGTTCATTGTCAATGCCAGTAGCAGGTGGTGCATTGGCTGCACAAGTATATTTAAGACAGTCAGGATTGAGTAAGTTATGACTTACCAGTAGTAGATGTGCCCACCTTGTTCAGGAGGGCATCAGGTTCAGGTCCAGCCCCTACAGAAAGTTCATCAGTTGCCCTCATCAGCAGGATGAGCACATTTTTTGCCTGTAAATGTAATAATTCAAGTGTTAGTAGTATAGTACTAGAAAAACAAGAGAAAAAACATACCTTGTGTGACCTGTCTGGGTTTGTTGCGAAATTAATTCAACCTCACTGTCATCTGAATCAAGATCAGTGACAGTGGTGGGAGTTTGGATGTGTGATGAGGGTATAGTGGCATTGGTGGCACCATGAGCCTTCCTGTGAGAATGTAGTTCGAGGTCAGCAGTATTATCTGCTGCTGATTACCTTTGCTGATGGTATGGTGACCTGTTTAGGATGTTGTGCAGGGGTTTCCTCATCATCTGAATAGACACATGGAGCCATTTGGAGCCTAAGAGGACCCAGATAATGGATGTTTAGGCTCTAGTGTACCCATAGAGAGGTATGAATAAACTATGTAGTTAACCAGTATTTGCTGTGCAAAGACAAAAACTCACCTTGAAAGCCAGGGCTTGGCGGCCCAGCTCTGGCCTATGAATATGTGAGGCTGAGCCTTGGGCCCTGCAAGGCCGATCATAAGGCCTAGCTGGACTTGGCCTAAGTAAGCCTGGTCAGGCTCAGCCCACAGCTTGAGGCTGGGCCTTGCACATCACTATATCCAGGACAATAAGGTGTGTACTGTGACTAGATGCATCACACAGTCCACAAATCCAAGGGAGACACCTTAACCAACTTCTCAGATTCTCCTCGGTTTAAAGAAATGTGGATTTGGTATCAACAAGTAAGCAAGCTTCCTTGTATTCATCACGATTACAGAGAGTGATTTTGAATCCTGTGGATAGGTAGCAATAGACACCTAAGTACCAAATGAAATAGATGGAAATCTAAACAATTCAAGATGACAAAATGCAAAGTTATGCAAAATCAGGCTATGCTGTCAATATTATCCATAATCAACTCTGATTATCTACAACAGGTTATGCCTCCTTGTCAGGGACTACAGATGCTTTGATAGGTTATTCATTATGGCTCTCATGATAGATAATACATCAGACACCTCAATATGGCATGATTCTACTTGTTCTGGAACAGTTTTCTCCCACCTCGGTATAAGCGCAGGAATATAGGTGCCTGGGAATAGCACCTTGGTATGGAACATTGGATGTCGAGTGGCTTATTGGATGGCCTGACTCCAATCTTCTCTGACAAGCTGTTAGTGGATCCACACAGCGGGCACTGCACAGGGACTCAAATACCCCAAGGATGCGTCTGGGGGTGGGCGCGCGAAAAGGTGGTGACCAGGAGCTTATGGATACCATCAGCATCATCCCTAGTCATCAAAATCACCTTAGTGTGTTGACCAAGACGACTGGAGAGGGAGAGAAGACTAGGGAATGCCATACGGACATCGAGCTGCTCAATTGCCACCTGCTCAGCCATAGCGAGCAAAAAGTTGGTGGCAACAAGAGGCTGGAAACGCATAGCAGGAAAGATGATGGCAGACGCTATATCATAGTCAAGTACGACTTCCTGGAGCTCGCCAAAGGTGTCGCTGTGGGCCACCATGGAGCTGCAAACTAGGAAGACCATAATAGCGCCACTCAGGATGCCATAATATGGCCCTAGCACAGTAGATAATACCTAGAAGTCACATAAGTCAAGAAAGATGAGAAACAATAGACACTTTACCTGAGAAACGCTCATAGCGACAAAATTACCTTTCTCTTTTCCGGCAAAAAGCCACCCGCTGTCTTCTTCAGAGTGATCAGAAAACAAGGCCAAGATGCGTCCACCTGGCGCGAGGTGGAGATTTGAGCTGGACAACACGAGCCTGCTGGGCGCACATGTATTCTTGAATGTTCTTGTGTGTAGTAACGTTGAACGGGACCTCGAGATAAAGGTACCCACCATTTTGGGAATAGTAGTCCAAGTAGTGAGACAGTAAAGGTACCGGCATGACCACCTCATTGCTATTGCAGACGATGAAATGGATGACGGCAATGGGAGTGGCGGCCAATACTGCGGAGGGCGCAGTCTCGAACATGCCGTTGAGCTGGAGAAATCCTTGGAGAACAGGTTGCCCTCCTTGCGCCAGCAGGCTCCCTATGTAGAAGCCCTGTAGTCATTAGTATAGCTTTGTTCAAATAGAAGAAACTGACCACTCACATGATAAGGCGTGGGTGCCTTCAGGGTCCGCTGAGCATGGCAGGAAAGGCACATAAACAGGACATCAGTGCTAGCAACAAGCTGCAGAGAGTCGCAAGGGACGTCAATGCAATTGTTGCCACATCACCTGGGGGCAGGTGTTGCACTCATAAAGCACAATGTCACCCTCAGTGCTATCACGGCAAATTAAGCACCACTAACAAATAATTAGCAATGACAGATGCTGCAACAAAGGACTTACCAGGCTGTGAACATCTGGGCTTGCTACTTCAGTCTCCTCAGGGCTGGCTGGTGTTGCTGGTGGAGGAGAGACTGCTGAAGAGCCAAGAGGTCTGCTGACTCTCCTGGCAATGCCACCGGCGGCGTACTTCTTAGCAGTATTCTTAGGCATTGACTAAAAAGAGAAAAAGACAGGTCAGAAAAGGGAATACAAGACAGCAGAGGTGGGACTCACCAAAAAAAGAAACTGAAACTGACTAAAAAAAGCCACAGACAAGTCAAGAAAGGGAATAATGGTGGTGGGTGTGACGTGTGACGTGCAGAACCAATACTGGCCAGTTCAAAATTCCCAACCAGCAGTCACGTGACCGTGTAAAAGTCACATGACTGAACAATACTTGTGCCGGTTGAAAGTTCTGAGTTGTTCAAAAGCACGGCAGATCATGTGATCCTGGAAAACAATTGCATTGTTTAGCAGGATCACATGATTTGTCACGTATGCGCCCTATGTTGTCATTGAGGTGTGGGCCATGTGGCGTGCATGTTAAGGACAACCCACAAGGGTCACATGATTTAAATAAATCATGTGATCTTGATGCGGTCAATAATGTATGTACATATATTTATTTAAAATGTTTAAGTCCACAAGGGTCACATGATTTGTTGGACACATCACGTCCAACAAATCATGTGATCTTGGCATAGTCAGTGGTTTTGAAATGCCTAAGTCCCCCAGCATTGTCCAATGTAAACAATGTCAAATAAGTGGTGTGGCCTATACCTGTGGCACCACACTTTCACACAGTTCAATTCCTTTAACTTAACACAAGCATCTCACTCTTCCCAACTCAACATGACCGGTTTATCCCATTAGCCACTTACACAGGCTCCAGCTGTGTAAGTGGCTAATGGTCACTGAGTTTTGTCTATTTAACTTAAGGTATATTTCTTTTCTACTTTAACTCCTTACTCAACACTCTTTTCTAGATTGTATTTCATCAGGTGAGTACTCTTTTAACCGTTCTTGAGCTCACCTAAGTCTTTTTAGGTGTTCCTTCCACAATATGTGGTCGCCCTGGCTGATTGGAGGGCGGTATAGTGCCCATGCTGGTGCACCTAACCGCCCTCCTTCAATAATATGGGCTAGGGATATCTACTGGAGGGTGGTATAGTGCCCACAACGGTGTGCCTAACCACCCTCTTGGATAATGGAGGCTTGGAGGGTGGTATTGTGCCCACGCCGGTGTGCCTAACCACTCTCCTCCAACCCTTGGGACAATGGGGGCTTGGAGGACGGTACAGTGCCTACGCTGGTGCACCTAACCACCCTCCTTCAACAATTTGGGTCAGGGAGATCTAGTGCGCCTAGACTTCCTTCTCTGCAATGCTTGGGCACCCCTGACAACTCAAGGGTAATTGCCACATTATGCTAGGAACATGTGCTGACTTGCGTTTCTAGAATTTTTTCATCTTGGTAAATTCATAAGAAGGTAATTTTGATCTACATTTGCACCACACATGCTGACCCAGCACCTGCAGGTGGTTTCCACTGCATTTTTATTTATTTATTTAATTCTTTCCTGTAGTTTGCCAGTACCAGACCGGGGCAAAGAGGGCTCCTCCGCCACGGCCTTGTATTAGCTAGTTTACTATTTGACAGTTTGGTTTTATTGACTTTACTTCATTTGCCTATGCTGTAGTACCCCTAACTTAATAAATGCTTCCAAAAAAGAAAGTGTGCCCCTTCTGGGCCCTACAACTAAGTCACGTGACTGGCTGCTGCTTCTCGCCCAAGTAAATTAGTCATGTGACCGAGCAAATTCTGGGTAGCGTCCAAGCCAACCTAACATCTGAATGTCAGAGCAAGTCATACTGTTCTGGATCTTCTAGTGGGGCTTGACAGCCCATCCTGGAATCCATCTAAGCTTGGCAAAACAACTGCTCATGGATACCAACATCATCCTACCTTCCTTACAGTTCCTCTATTTTTGTACTGGGCAGCGGACAAGTGAGGTGATGTAGGCAATGGCAGCATTGCTGAGCTTAGACAGTACAACCTGACTTTCTTACAGTGCGTGTTGGTGCGCAGTACAGGAAATAGTCAGACTATTCTGACTACCCTTGTACTGGATATGAACATCATCCTATCTTCCTCACAGTGCACATTGGTGTGCAGTACAAGAAATAGTCAGAATAGTCTGACTATTCTTGTACTGAATACGAACACAGATGTGAGGTGACAGTACTACACAGGCATGTGGGGTGGTGAAGGCAATGGCTTCTTCAGTAGCTGCGCCAAGCTTAGATGGATTTGAGGATATCCCCAAACTTTGGCTGTCTAAACTTGGCAAAGCTGCTCAAGAAGTTGCCGCCTATGCCAACTCATCAATGGCCTACCCTCAAATCTGTCTACAAATCCGCCGAAGCTGGTGAAACTGCTCAAAAAGCCATGACATACATTACCTCACATTATCTCAATTTGGTATATATTAACCCCATAGAGCCTAGATCCAAACTGCTGGAAAAAAATTTCGCGTTGACACGCACGAAACCTGTTTCAGTACATGATCACGGACACATAACATACTCTCAGTACAACCTAATACTGCCAATAAAGGCAGTTCTAATTTCTTATGGCTTTATTACAATTTACTATAATTTTCTTGAAGGTTTTTCATAGCTACATGAATTAATCATTCATATTACGTACTTAGCACAGTCAATAAACTGTGTTAAAACCCTTATCCTTTCATTAGTAAGCACATTCCCGCACCTTTCAGGATTTTCTCGTACATTTTCCCACCTAATGAGCCATATTCGTGTTAACATCTTAACATCTCAACATCTGCACAGTCATCATCTGAGCAGTGTCAATCTTCTTACATAATCTACATTTTGCTTAATGATTAGTCATAGTTTCTGGACAGTTCCTGAAATAGCGGTAACCTCTAAGTGAACATTTGGACACTGAGTCATAGTGAGTCACATGGAGTCATTATGAGTCATTTCGTTATGACTCTACAATCATTATGAGTCCTATTCATATTAGTAGTTGCATAGCCACCTGTAGAGTAGTATATAAAGGGACATAGTTTCCCTCTTTGAGAAATAAGATCCCTTTTTAGAGAGTTTGCGTATCTCTCAGAAAGTTTCTCACCCCTTAATATCTGTGTGAATACTGAGTGAATATTAGTTTATTCCCTCCACTCTTTTGTCACTGTTTCCCACGAATGTTCTGACTACCTGAGGCCACCTCTAAGTCACATTAAATTACTCTAGCTAGTGCACGGTTACTAGTTGTCTAGTGTAGTTTCACTGCAATTCTCTTTATGACACAGGAAATCAATTCTGTGGGGAGAAATCCACGTACTTTAACGATTGAGGATGATAAATAGGACTTATACTTTAGTCAACAATATTAAGAGCTTGGCCACTTAAGATTACATCAAGAAGGTGTATTCTAGTCTGGACTGCATCATTACTCATTGTGAGATCCTGAGCAGCAGAAAGGTTGGTTCCGAAGCCACGTATTTGATTGATTCAACTGTATCCGACTCCTAGTTTGATCTCCCCTGATTGTGAGAATAAGGAGTATCCCAGAGATATCGCTCTGACTCACCACTGTATCACTGTAATTCACTGTAACTTTCCGTAATCTGTGTACTGTCGCATCATTATCCCTGAAGAACCCTAAGTACTGCATCAAGCCAGTTAATGGGCATTGTTCCTGAGATTTCCGAATATCTCACCCCTTTTAGTCATTGGTAAATTTGCTCAGGGAGAACGAATCTATATTTGCACCCCCACGAACAACCACGTTATCAACTGTTGGTATTAGTCTGAACCGATTGACTGTGGAGGATAAGTGAAATTTGGTGTTTTTATTGCCTTTCACATCCTAGTAAGACAGCGTCTCCACCTGGTGCTGTCAGTCTTCTATTCTTCTTCTCCTTCTGCCATGGAAGATCCTGTGACAAAATTGTCCAAGAACCCTCTCTAGCTGCATAGATGAACTACTCCGGAATTCATCCCCATTTGAGTTATTCTCAGATACTAAGATTGATGACAAATTACTACAAAAAGCAAAGTAGGCCGGTTCTAAGTTAAGGTTTGGTCAGGCTAACTGCTGAAATTTTCAGGATGAGACTGTGAATGAGTGGCAGAATGTTCAACTTTCCAGTTCTGGTATTGATGTCAAGACAACCACTGTTGCCGAGATTGAACTCTCCAGGGCTGCTGCCAGCATCGCTATGCTGCCTTGAACAACAGTAAGCTTTTATTTGAATTTGACCAGGGTTTGTGTTTGTTTGTGATTGTTTGACCCCAGTGCGGACCGATTGAGACATCGACTGCTTTGCAGACCAGTGTGACAATATAGTTTTCCCTGGGCTGATATTCCCCCTTTTTACTTACCTTCACTTACCCACTTTCCTTAGTTTATGTTCGCATTTTTACTGCTTACATAATCATGTCTCCCTTTCACCACTGTCAGTACCAGTCTGAATCACAGTCTTTTGTTTGATGATAATTCTACTCTCTGAGCTCTGAGTCTAGTACAGAAATCCTTTAGGGTCGAATAGCAGCTAGACATAGCAATTTTGACCCAACATTTGAAGAGTACTTTTCAGAGTTCTCTTCTTGTTGTGTTTCCCACACCGGGCTAAGGTGTCAACAAACCCACTGAATGCTGATAGCCAACAAAGAGAGAAACTTGCAAAATATTTCAAGACTCCTTCTTTTGGCCACATCTTGGAGCCAACCACGTTTGTTGACATGCATGGAAGGATACTCGCTTGGTACTTGCCAGAGATCTTGGTGCCTGATCGAATGGTATGCCAACTTTCTGAGATGCGATCATCAAGGACCTTGTAACAACTTATATTTAGGAACACATTAATAGCTCCATCAAGTTGCTCAGACCTGCCATAGACTGGTCTTTTTCCAATGCAACTGAAGAGGAAAAGAGTCCTTGGTGATCACAAGGTTTTGTCATACCTCCAGGGGGGGAGAGTTCGGAGCAGGACAGGTGACTTTATGCCCGGGAGGATTCATGCAGTGCCAAGAGGTAAGTTTGTCTTCCCATGCTTCTTTAAGTACAAAACTAATGTAATGGAGCTAGCGCCTTCAAGATCATTTGTACCAATCACCTGCCCTTTCATCACCTGCCGTTCTGCATTGGTTGTCCGAAATGACTGTTGCTGAACAACTCTGGTCAGCTATTACTAGTATTATTGCACCAGATCAGTATCTTGCTGGCATTAAATCGGTATCTGTGCTGAAGAATATGGTCCGCACCTCAAAACCAGTTGTTTGGCCCTCTGTGTTTTCTGGAATTGAGGGTAATTGTCAACCTGTCATATACCATATATCCGGTTACAGATCCGATGATCTGGATCTCAGATCCGATCCAGATCCGATGAACATATCCGTCGTCCGGTACCACAGATCCGCTTTGATTCTTATTTCATTTTCCTGTTCATATAACTCTAACTATCGTTCATCTCCTTTCGGTATTCCTGTACACCGGTATACCGGTTATCCTTTACTTCCGCTTTGCTTACTGATCCGCTACACTTACGAATCCGCTTTTACTTGTACTTCATTCCCGGTTCATGATTCGTGATTCCATCCAACTTACCAATACGCTCCACTTAGACTTTGCTTATTGATCATTCCGTTAGCTATCCGTAGTATATAAACCTTTGTATATGCGCTGTAGTAGATCAGTTCGAATATCATCTTAGATTGCACTCATTCCGTCTGGACTCTAAGTCCCTCCGTTATCCGTCCGGACTTGAGTACGCTACTCTTGTCTACTCCGAGACTTAGGATAGATTCCTATAGTCTACATATCCGCCTCTGTCTTCGGACAGTCCTCACCCGTTAGTTTCTAGTCCGGATCCGATCCGGATTGGCCGTTACTCTATACACGCGATACTTTAGCTCTCTGAAATAAGGGGCAAGACTCGGGAAAGGGGCACAGCGCACGAGCTGAGGCCGAAGCCCTTCGGATCCGATACTACTTGAGTACGGTCTTAACACAACCGAGAGACGCCCCACCATCGAGATCCAGGAGCATCACCATCAATCTATGACCTTCTGGTTAGCTTAGGGCAAGCAAACCAGGCTGTACTAGATCTGCCAGACCTGGGTGCCCAACTAGGTTATCCCCCTGGGACCATGGTATATATTGCAGGCAAGGTGCTGGAGCATGGGGTCCCAGGTTGGGGTGATGGTGAGAGGATTGTGATTGCCCACTTTGTCAAGGATAAAGTCCATGATAAGCAGGGCATTCCAAGGCCAAACTTTCCTGTTGAGCAGAATTTTCTCAAGCAAGTGGGGGCTGGTAGAGGTCTGAAATCTGTTGGTAGGAAGAAGGTGCGAAAAACTGGTGGAGTTGGAGGAGTGGCAGCTAGGCAGTAAGTGGAGTTAATTAATCTATCAAGATGGGATAAGGCTATATTTGATGAAGATAAATTTTCTATTGGGCTGCTTGCCTTACTTTGGAGTCCTTATTCTCATTCCTTGGTCAAAGTGTTATGTCTGGCCAGAAAAAACCCCGTCTCAAGGCTGTTTCTTATTCTTTCAAAGACAGAGGTAGTTTATTACAATGAAAAGACCTGGATGTCAATTATATTGCATACAAACCTACGACAGGAAAGAGGGAAAAGCCTTCATGGCTTGAATCTCATGCTGATCTGCTGTATGAAATTTCAGAGGGGCATTCCTCCTCCTCCAGTCCAAGGAAACGGGAAAAAGAGGTTGCAATGGAATTCCCAGACCTTGAGACCTATGGTGCATATCAAGAAATGTTCAATGACTTTGTTCTGGAAGGGGAGGCTGCTCAGCACACAAGAAAAACCAAGGTACAACTCATGATTTCTAGCTTGTAGATAACTCTCTTCTCATGTTATGTGATACAGACTAAAAACGACTTCATAGCAGAATATATCCCTTACCAAGATCTGTATCTAGACATCATCTTGAAATCAGAACAATTTGTCCATGCAGGTGTCTGCAAGACTTGCCAAAGTGCTGAGGCAACATTCAGCTGTGCAACTTGCACTGGAGACCATAGCCGGTGTCGCCCTTGCCTGATCAAGTCTCATAGGTCATTACCTTTTCACAAAATCCAATCGTGGATTAGTAAGTGCTTCAAGGACGTCACTCTTGCAGACCAGGGTTTTATATGATACTAAGGCCATGGGGGAGAGTCTTGCCCTCGGTATGGTGCTTCACAACTTTGTGACAGTGAAATCGAAGCCTTGCCTCATGATACCACTCCAGTCGCTATCATACATTCTTCTGGGGTGTTCACGCATAATATAGCTTGGTGTCATTGTCCAGGATCCAATTCTCAACAGCACCTACAGCTCCTTAGAGCAGGACTATTTCCTGCCAGCTCCACCCAGCCCAAGACTGCTTTCACCTTTGAGGTACTGGATCATTTTCTCATTGATGCCTTGGGATGCAAGACTTCGGCAAGGAGCTTCTTTGAGAAGCTCACAAGGCTGACTAATAATACTTTTCCAGATACAGTCCCAGTGAGTTTGCGCATGCTTGACTAAGTAGATTTCTCTGAATACCTGTGTCTACATTGATAGGATCGATATCGTGCACTCATGAGAGTATCTCGCCTGTGGCGGGACTTAAAGAACCGAAAATGGTTTGGATTTGGCCATGATGTGGAATCAGGTCCTGGCCCAGGATATCTCGCTCTTTTCTGCCCTTCATGTCCACAGCCAGGAATCAATATGCCTTTACTTTGGGAGCAGAAGTATGAAAGGCAAGTTGGTTGATTGTTAAAAATTCATGAAGCTGGCCAGGCTCAGGGCTACCTACTGTAGACCAAATGCTGGCCAGGAGTAAAAGGGACCGGCGGTGCAGGCCTGGCCCTTATTTCTGTTCTAGCTTAACTGAGATTAAACCAGGCTGACTTTTGGTTGCAGGTGGCTTGTTATGAGGATATTGGTTGTGGATGGGAACTTTACCGCTCAGCACATGAACATGCGGGAGCCTGAACTAGACATCTTCCTCTCATATGGTTCAGGTTATTCCACCAATCGGGTTGGGTGAACACCCTACCAAGAGTAAGGTTCAATTTGATGTCAACAACTAACACGTCAACCGGATACACTCCCTTCCACCTTCACCTTGGGAGGACACTACATCTGTTGCCACCACTAACACAAGAAGGCATTCAGACAGCTCAAGAAGATTTCCTCGCAGACATCGCAAACACACTCGAGGTAATTGTATCGCTGAGGACAGATGTAGCTGATGCACATGATGCTCTCCTGGTGTCACGAATTGCTCAGGTGAACACTGCAAACACACAGAAGCGATGAACCCTTATTCGACATCAGTGACTTTGTGTACCTCTCAACAACACACAGAAGATGAGAATATCTCAACGGGAATAACAAACGAGTAGCAAAATTCATGCCATGGTTTGACAGCCCCTACACAATAGTGTCTGCAAACTCTGAGTCATCCACTTATACTCTGGACTTACCTGACCATACTAACATATATCCAACATTTCATGTATCGGAGCTGAAGTGCCACGTTCCCAACAATGCAGAGCTGTACCCATCTCAAGAGCTACAATGGCCAGGCCCTATCGTGACAAAGACCAGGGCTGAAGAATGGGAAATTCAGAAAATTCTAGACAAAAGAACATGGGGACGCGGACAGCAATACCTAGTCCGATGGTGCAGTTACGGTCCTGAAGTGGACATTTGGGTACCAGGCAGAGAGCTCGAAGACACAACCATACTACAAGAGTACAACACAACACATATGAGGCCTGAAGAAGACGGATCACTTCAGAACGACTAATGTACTACAAGAGTTCAAGAAACATTCGAGGTCTGAAGAAGACACAACGTTGAAAGAACGCACAAAGAAGAAAGAAGCTGATGCCGGTGTTTATTCTTCAGAGAATGAGAGGGTGTAAGCTCGCTGCTTACTACACGCTTACCTTATCACACGTCATGTGACCCATCCCCATATATTCTGCCACTTTTGTATTACTCAGACCAGACTCGGGTCTCCTACCTACCATCACCTATCCATTAGTACAACAGTCAAAGAATCCAGTTTCGTCCTGTTACTTTCGTCCGATCTGCTTAGTGTTCCTTGTCGTTTCCCGGGCAAGGTTCCAAGATGATGACTAAAAACTGTTTGTGGCATTGACTATTTAGTGTGAGGCTCAGAGATTTGAGTGCATTCAAACCCAATGACAGGATCAAAGTCCGGTAATTCAAACAATAGTAGTACCAGTATAACTCTATGACTAACAACAGTATGTAGGGCCCGAGGAACAGCGAGTATCAGGCAATCATGGGAGCAGAGAAATACTGAACAGGTAGCAAAATACTCAGCCGATAGCGACATCAAGCGACTGTAGAAATAACAGGTAGATGAGGGTAGTTGAGAACTCGACAGAAACGATGAAGGATCTTCAACTCAGCTGAGGGTGCAGCTGATATAATTGTTGAAGGGAGGAAAATATGAGTGCGATATGTTCGTCCCTTAGGGGAAGCGGAGAAAGCAAATATCCACTGGTCAACTCTAGGGGGAATGCGCAAAGCGCGTGATAAGGCGAAAGCGCAGGAACAAAGGCGCTATAGGCGCGCGAAGCGCGGGAAAGTCGCGCGTCGAAAAGCGGAACTGGGTGAAAGCGGTATGCGAGCGATAGTGAGATGGTAAGACGTGTACTGAGATGCTGATAAGACAACTGATGCGGATATGGCCACTAGAGCTAACTGCTACTAGGGCTTGCGATGATTTATTCAAAACATAATAAAAACTCGGAGATGGTGATTGTCTATGATGATGGTGGTCTGTGGTAATGTGTGTTGTGTTAAGTAAAAAAATGTGTAATGAAAAATGTGTACCAAGTGAAAATAAACATGGTATGATGTTGAAATAAATGATAAATGGAGAAATGCATACCTGGGAACTTGGTTGGACATGGGAAAACACAGTGGGAAGTCAGGCGCCCTATAGCGCTTAGGCGCGGGAAAATTCGCCTAAAGCGCGCGCAAGTCGCGGAAGTGTCGCCTATGTCGCGGAAGTGTCGCCTATGTCGTGCGCGTCGTGCGAACGTCGCGTTTATCGCGCTAGTGTCGCATTGCATGCATAGTATTGTAGACTCGACCTACAGTGCAATATATGCCATTGTGAGGCTACTCAGGATCGAGTCTCTACAACGAGATGAAATAAACGAAACAGATATTGGACAAGGCCTGTTCGATAGTGCCGCCGTTATATCTCCCTCTCCAAGAAGAGCACTATCTCTCTTGAATGAAGAACCAGTGACAATGCAAGCACCATCCGGCAAGAACGAGACAACATTACTGAATAAGTGTGCCCCCGCAAGGGCTCACCGACTGGCTCCCCCATCCCTGCATCCCACAGCTGAACAGTATTATCTGAAGAACCAGCAACGATCGATGTGTCGCGATCCACTTGAGTTAGAATAGTCTGCACAAATGATTGCTGAGTAACAGTGGGAGATAGGGAGAGAGAACATGAAAACATACTTTGGCTGCAGAAGACAACACGCCCAGTACCGTCTTTGCATAAGGATGCACCTGTGGAACTAGATTAGTTCGGTTTCGATCGAGAGGAGGGCCTGCATACATTTGCAATCTCTCCCATAACAGTGTCGAATATCCTGAGGGGTTTGCTTGCACAAGCTGTTGTTTTGGTGTCTTGAGTCGAATCCCTCAATGAATTGTCCTTGCCCTTGCCTTTGTGCATTGTGAAGTGAAGTAAGACAATTAGAAGGGTCCTAGCTACATCTCTTATATAAAAATAACGGGCCACGAGGCAAATATTTGTTGCACTGTTGAGATATCAGATTCAGCAGATCAATGAAAGAATCTTATCGTCCAATAATCGTTCGTCGACTCGTAGCACTCCAAGGGTCCTGATCGGGATTGAAGGACCAAGACCGGTCCTATGCAAAGCAGAACATCTCATCGGTCAGGCCCTGAGTGGTTATCCAAGGTATATATTGGTAGTTAGTTGCTGTTCGAATAAACCGAATACAGGTCAAGGCAACGTGTACTAGATCAAACAAATGCAAAATCAGAGCAATGTGTGAGTCGTTAACTTCGTGGTACCAATTAGAACATAAAAACCTTACACTATGCACGGCCATCACCGGGAAAACAAGGGAACATGGGCAGAGATGAAACCCCATGACATCCAGAAGGCTCAAGGGTTCTCTAAGTAGTAAGAACGCCTGCAGAAGAAGAGTGACTAGAGAAGTTGAAGAACTAATCAATGTAAGCTGCGGAGAATCAATGATTAACACTCATGATAAGAAACCCTATAATATGAGATTGATAACGGAATAGCGTCATCAGTGAAAATGGGTATCACTTCAAAATACTCCTTCTCATCCAATGGGTGCTATTCTTCAATGAATAGTGAAGCGTTGACATGATACTCATCTTCACGAGTTCCGGGTTAATCCAGCATTTCATATACACACTATGACACGTCATGAATGCATGACGTGCGGCTTCTCGTATCACCTGTCTTGAATTTTCTTTGTCGATCAGCTGCAGTTGGCATGGCAGTAGCCTTCTTCTCGCTGGCCTTCAGAACAACAGACTTTGAAGCTGAGTGTGATGTCAGCCACTTGTGTTCCGTCATGGTTTGGAGCAAGTCGTGTCATACAGAAACAAGGTGCGTGTAAGTCACGTGTATCAGAAGTCCAACTTGATCTTTGTTCACAACTCCAAGATCAACTTGAACAGATGTCAGAGGCTCCCCCATCTGCCGGCAGGTCCATCCTCGTCACGGTCACACCCACTGGACACGACCTACACATTATCAATGTCATCAACCCTTTCAAAGTTTCTACGTGGCCACCGCACCCTCATAATTACTCCCAAACCTCCAAGCAACCTCCAACATCTCCACTTTTCCACCACGAAGGCTGATGTTATCTTCAAATGATCGATTTCACTTGCCATCTCTAGTGTGTCCCATATGCACTCCCAGCAGTTACTCGAGACAGACAACTCCATCATCCACATCGTCAGCAACAAGGTGCAAATCCAACATCATTGCCATACCCATGTGTCCTGGGCTCTCTAGATCAGATACCATTGCACCGCTATTAACGCAGTTCGAGGATAGGATCAATCCACATTCGACATCTTTCTTTATCTGACATGAAGTCCTAGATACTGATGCTTCCACAGGTGTACATTCCTCCAGCCCCTCTCCACCTTTTCACAAAATCCACCATATCTGTTATGAAATATGTGCTGCACGTCCTTTCTCCCAACGCTTTTCAAGAGCAATGCTTCTCGATGCACCAATACTCCAGAAGAAGTGCTCAAGGCAGCTGCACTCTACCATGAACGTGATATTGTTAACCTACATATACTGATTCCTGCGACGGCTGACGCCCAGGTAGGTGAACCAGTTTGCTTGATTGGTGGTGATGTTGATGAATACTATACACGCAGGCCATGGACTTGGTGTATACGACAAGTCAGCAAAATGTGGGATGAATAAATTCTATGAACTTATCAAGATATGGAGGGTGAACAGCACCGAACTTGCAAGGAAATCATAGAACAACGACAAACTGCAAGTGTGCCACAGTCGTACTAGTTCCTTCCTCCTCACGATTGAGCAACACTCCCTCATCCACCTAGCATTAACCGAATCCTTCGACAACCTCCACACTTTCCAAACTCTCCAAGCATACATTCAGCGCTCTCCAGACCTCCCACTCTCAAACCCCAGCCGCTCATTTTGGTCCTACCCACCCTCCCTATCACCGCTCACGTTTCTTAGCTCCCAACACATGCTGACTTTGTCGTCGTTGGCTCGAGTATTACTGGGACATCGTTTGTGAGGAGGATTTCGGATAGTGCAAGTGCTGATGGGCATGATGTTAGAGTTGTTATGTTGGAGGCAAGAGATGCATGTGTGTTCTAGGGTGACTGGGAGGCAAGTATTGTATCGACCGTTTCATAAAGAAGCACACCAGGCATATCTCATTGCCTCTATCACGAATACACCTCGCTCAGGCAGGATTGTGGACAAACCATAGCCTGAAAAACGATTGAATTGAGGTTGGCGTATCTCGATGAGCTAAGGAGTGTTGCGGAACAGGAAGGCATTCTTGCAAATTCTAAGTGGTGGGAGGTAGGATCTGCATATGTGTTTGATAACTCAGACATGTTCAAGAAGGCGAAGACAAATGTACAAATATATAAAGCAGACCTTTCCTTTGATGCTAAGGATTATGAGATATACAAAGCAAAATAGGCTATTGAGGTACACTTTTTGGGGGAGGGAAGTGTGCCTTGGAGGCGGGTGAGGGTGGAGGGCTGTGTCAAGGCGTTGTAGAGTGGGATTTTGGTTGATTTGACACTTTGAGTTGGCCATTTGCCGCGTGTGATATCTGGAAGGAGTGAGCCACCGTTGAGTTCAGTTGTGAAAAGTGAGAAAGGGGAGGAGGTGCATGTGGTCACTGCACTGAGGGAATGAATTACAGCGGTGTAGAGACTCGATCCTGGGTAGCCTCACAATGGCACATATTGCAACATAGGTCGAGTCTACAGTATCATGCATGTAACACGACACTTGCGCGATAAACGCGACGTTCGCGCGACGCGCGCGACATAGGCGACACTTCCGCGACTTGCGCGCGCTTTAGGCGAATTTTCCCGCGCCTAAGCGCTATAGGGCGCCTGACTTCCCACTGTGTTTTCCCATGTCCAACCAAGTTCCCAGGTATGCATTTCTCCATTTATCATTTATTTCAACATCATACCATGTTTATTTTCACTTGGTACACATTTTTCATTACACATTTTTTTACTTAACACAACACACATTACCACGGACCACCATCATCATAGACAGTCACCATCTCCGAGTTTTTATTATGTTTTGAATAAATCATCGCAAGCCCTAGTAGCAGTTAGCTCTAGTGGCCATATCCGCATCAGTTGTCTTATCAGCATCTCAGTACACGTCTTACCATCTCACTATCGCTCGCATACCGCTTTCACCCAGTTCCGCTTTTCGACGCGCGACTTTCCCGCGCTTCGCGCGCCTATAGCGCCTTTGTTCCTGCGCTTTCGCCTTATCACGCGCTTTGCGCATTCCCCCTAGAGTTGACCAGTGGATATTTGCTTTCTCCGCTTCCCCTAAGGGACGAACATATCGCACTCATATTTTCCTCCCTTCAACAATTATATCAGCTGCACCCTCAGCTGAGTTGAAGATCCTTCAGCGGGCTATTTGGGGGAGGGGATGGTGTATGCATGGTTGAGTGGGAAGGCGCTCGCAGATATGGCATTGGGATGCGAAGTGGAAGGCAGGCTCAAGGAGTTGTTCCTGGATATTATGAAAGTTGCCGCGAGAAGAGGTGGAAGAAGGCAAAGGTGGGAAATTTACTGGATTCCTAGGCCTTGCAACATGGTTATAAGCGTGTACGTGTAATATTATTCCACTTCATGTGTCTCACTAGGCCCAATTGCAATCACAGAAATTGGACACTTGTCGTTCTGAACAAATAAGGACAAACAAATGACTTGAGGCTTGCGCTGAGTGCCAACTATTACTCGGCGCTCGCTTTATTCCACGTTCAGAATCTCATCGATCTCAATCATCACCCGGCATGCCAGCTAGCTTACATGTCAAATGTTCAAACTTAACACGACGATCATAACAAGATTTACATATGCAACACTCCACCTGACATCCTTGCTAATTAAGGCCAAGGCAAGAGGTGTGCGACGGAGAAATCCGACAAAACATCCATTTGCTTATGGTAAGCAAAAAAAATTATTTCAGCCACTTTGGTGTTATATCATGCTGCTGTCTGAACTTCTCGACAGGACCTTCAAACCTTCATAAAATCTTTCCGTAAATTGGGGGAGGTGGTGGTTATAGGTATATTAGCATAATTCTAGGTAGTTAGATTATTTAGTCTGCTATGTTCTTGATGAATTGTCTTGCAAACGAGCATTTTCGAGCCGATCGGCACATCACGTGATTCATGAATTAATGAGATATGATCAATATCAATACTACTTGACCTGCACCACCACATCGCCCAGCTACTCTGCAGCACTGGTGGTGTCTTGCTCATTCATTCATTGTCATTTTTCATCAGGCCAGGAGCCTAGTAAAGCATGCATCCCTACCCAAGTCAATATGAGTCGTGGTTTCCCTTGCAGCAACTTGAAGACACTTGTACATCACATCATAATCATAGTAACGATCCCAACACACAGACAACAAACGCTTCCTCAGCCTATAACGACAAATACACTGAAGACATCAATAATTCCCTTGCATCAGCCCCTTTAACTCAACTATTAAATGAAGAATCACGCTCTCTGCCTCACGCTCTTAATATTTCCTCTCTTGCCTCATGCTATGACCTCTCACAGCCAGAATTTCCCACAGGACATCAGACGTGTCTGATGAGTCCAAATTGAGTCAGCCAGCTCTTGATATAGCTCCCTTGCTCGAGGCAAACACACCCGAGAACCTCCTGCACTTATTCCTCACAGGACATATCCAGCACCGCGCAGGAAAGACTCAATGGGAAGTTGAGTGTCCTGACTGCAAAATGTGGATCAACACAAGTCTTTCAGTCCATTTTCTCACAGATCTCAATATTCCTGGTTATTTCAAGACTCTTTGTGATCACTGTGATGGCAAGAAATGTTTAAAAAAGCCCCATACCATCCCTGCAATATCAAGTATCACCAGTGTCATAGTTGCATCACCGAGGCCATTTCATACTACTCCCACCAGCTGTGTTGGTGTTCCAATCGACTGGCCTATTCAAGGGCCATCTTTTCTTGAAACATTCCCTGTCAGTTGAGCATCAGAGGGACAGGGCATGCTCCCCTTCGATATTGACACACGAGGTGATACACCACATGCATATTCAAAGCTTTGTGATGGCAATTCTTCCGTGCCTGGAGTACCTTGCGACAGCTGTGCCGAAATCGCACCATTTATCTCTCACCTCGTGTCAGTCTCAGAGGACATCAAGCCGCACACGAACTTTCGCTATCTGAGTCACTTTAGTCTGATCAACCAGCTGAAACATTATATGACTGAGAATAACCGACTAAAGTTAAAGGTTCGTTGGAAATAATATGAACTGATGTCATACTAATGAAATTACAGGGTCTGAATGATGCGCAGAAGATTGCTCACACTCTGACTCGCTTGGATGAGTATTGGTCACTCGTGATGGCAATGTGGGAGAATGATGTGCCTCGTGTACAGTACATTCTGTCTGTTGCCTTGAAGAAGGGCTCAAGTGTTCAGCAGATTCTCACAACCCTAGAGGATGCAATCACTGGAACGTATCATCCACGGGGCTATAGCGGTGATGATCTTGATCTTGCCACACTTGTCTATCGACTCGGAGGACGCCAGCTTATGTATGCGCTCAATCATCACTTAGGTTTGCTGTCACTCCATACCCTCCAAGCTCACTCAATCTTTACATCCATCACACCAACAATTGGTTCAATTTCACCTGACCAATTTGACGCCAACATTAACACGCTCATTATCACACCACATACCAATGCTGTCATCCCTCTCCAGGGACATTCCATCATGATGGATGAGATCGCCCTTGACGAGAGGGCATCTCACTATCGTCCAGCCAACTGTGTCATTGGCCTCTGCCATTCCCATTCAAATCTTATTGATCCTATGCTGCATACATACGACTCTGCTCTGCGAATTGCAACTAAGCTTAATGAGGGCGAAGTTCACCTTGGCAAAGAGATGTCTGTGATGGGGATTCGTGCTTTTGGAGACGACAATCTTTTTCCTATTCTAGCTGCACCAACATGCAAGACAGAGAACATAGTGACAATGATGGCAATACTTTCGATGGCTCGAGATCGGTGGCGAGCAACTGGAGCAGAAGCACATTTCAGTCCAATTTTTTGCTTCGCAACGGACGGGGACTCAACGCGTCGAGGTGCTGGACACTGTTTATTTGTCAAGACAGAACTTCCAATGACATCAAAGCTCTACGGTACCTTATCGTGCATGCCCGGTCTCAATCTTGCGACTGGAGATGATGAGATCACTCTTGATTTTGACTACAAGCACATATTTAAGCATTAGTATTGTTTTCATTCGCTTCACATTGACTCCTATTGACGACTGAATTCTCCCAGGATGGTGTACATTATTCTGTACAAGGAAGGGCTTGAAATTGAATGGCGGTCACACAATCACCAGCGGTGTTCTCACACGATATCTGATATGGCTTCCAGGTAAGTTTTTTTTACATCACGCACTGCGCAATTTCTGATACTACTATGACTTCTAGGTCAGGACAAGTTTAGCATCATGAAACTCCTCAACCCAGATGACCCACAAGATGTACCCCGAGCAGTTGAACTCATGCAATCTATTATTGCCCTCTCAAAGATTGAAACGAATCCTCTGTTGGATGGTGTCGCAGTCTGTGCAGATATGTCAGCCATCAAGATCTTAGGCATCATGCTGGAATCCCTCCTCCTTCCATTCATAGATATCTCACTTTCACTTCAGCAACAAATTGAGCTCATCAGCTGCTATTGTCACCTCACGTTCGCACTTTTCCACATGCATCACAGTGCTTTCATGCCCCACATACTCTTTTACGATACCCAGTCAATGTGCAAGAACATCTGTTTCTGTGTGGCAAAGCAGCAGAAACTCGATGGCTGACAGAAGTTCTGGATTATCCAGATGAGGGACAATGACTTAGAGGAGTTGTTTGGCATTGTTAAGACCGTACTCAAGTAGTATCGGATCCGAAGGGCTTCGGCCTCAGCTCGTGCGCTGTGCCCCTTTCCCGAGTCTTGCCCCTTATTTCAGAGAGCTAAAGTATCGCGTCTAGTGAGACGGATAAGTATCGTAACGGATAAGTCTTGTATTGCAACGGATCCGTTAAGACTTCCAGATATCGAACATATAGAGTAACAGCTAATCTGGATTGGATCCGGACTAGAAACTAACGGGTGAGGACTGTCCGAAGACAGAGGCGGATATGTAGACTATAGGAATCTATCCTAAGTCTCGGAATAGACAAGAGTAGCGTACTCAAGTCCGGACGGATAACGGAGGGACTTAGAGTCCAGACGGAATGAGTGCAATCTAAGATGATATTCGAACTGATCTACTACAGCGCATATACAAAGGTTTATATACTACAGATAGCTAACGGAATGATCAATAAGCAAAGGTGCGAGGCTATGTACGAAAGTATAAGCAAAGTCTAAGTGGAGCGTATTGGTAAGTCGGATGGATCACGAATCATGAACCGGGAATGAAGTACAAGTAAAAGCGGATTTGTAAGTGTAGCGGATCAGTAAGCATAGCGGATCAGTAAGCAAAGCGGAAGTAAAGGATAACCGGTATACCAGGTGTACAGGAATACCGAAAGGAGATGAACGATAGTTAGAGTTATATGAACAGGAAATGAAATAAGAATCAAAGCGGATCTGTGGACCGGACGACGGATATGTTCATCGGATCTGGATCGGATCTGAGATCCAGATCATCGGATCTGTAACCGGATATATGGTATATGACAGTATCCCCCCCTTAGGGCCGATCCCTAGAGGCACAAGAATCAGCGATCCGGAACAGGATGGTATGAGTGCGAGACAATGGAGAAGCTGATGGGAGAAGTTGCTGAGTTCGGATTCTGACAGATATACGGATGCCAAAGCGTCGCAGGGTGTTCCTTCCTTTCCCTACTTTTTCACTACCACTAGCTTATCTCAACCATGACTGATAACGGATCCGGCTCTAAGAAGACCGCTAAGCAGACTCTGGCGGATATCCAGGCCGCGCTGGCTGCTGCTGAGGCCGAGGTTCGGAAGGAGGAAGAGGCTGAAAAGCTGAAGCAACAAGCGGAAGAGGCGGAACGGAAGCGCTTGGCAGGGATTAAGAAGATTGAACGGGCTGAGGTCCGAAGGGAAGCGGAGGAGGCTAGGCGCAGGGCTATAGTAGCGGAAATGGTGAGTTATGACTTGTTCTATCGGATCCGTCCCTTATCGGATCCGTAGTCTCGCGCTATCTCAGCGGATAAGGATGGGGCTTGTACCCGCTGCGCTAAGAAGGGTCGGGCCTGTCTGTGGTCCGATGCGGATAGCAATTCCTTGGTAAGTCAGTCCTTGAATCTTCGGATCCAGTGACTCTTAACCTTCGGATAGATCAAGGCTTGTAACGCGTGCCGGAAGGACAAGGCTCCTTGTCCCGGACGACCTGGAACCAGTTACGGATTCCAAGTCTAAGAAGAGGCAGCGCGCTGCTGAGAACCCATCTCCGAGAGGCAAGGGTAAGAAGCGCCAGCAGAGTCCGACTCCGGATCCGGATATGAAGACGGTAGTAGCGGATGAGGTGGAAGTGGAGTATGATGATCAGGCCTGGGTCGCGGCCGCTAATAGCATTGTAGCGGAACTGGCTCGGACCAACGGATTGCTCCAGCAGAGCATCGGAGCGGCGGAAGGGAGTAGGACTGCTATAGAGCGGATGAATACTAACTTGGAGGCGTTTTTGGAGCAGCAGAGGGAGTTCCAGACCATCCTTCTTGAGGGGATCCGGAATGGAATCCGGATTACAGAGGCGGCTCGTTCTGAGGCCACTGACAAGGACGTTGATGAATCCGGATCCGGATCGGGTGGGGACATGGAGATGGATGGCTGAGGATTTTCGGATCTGCCTTCTCTGCTACTAATGTACTTGTATATCCGCTTTGTATATTCATTGTATAGCAATAGGACCGGGTTTGTCTGGATATGCAGTGTGGAAATCCGAGACTAGATCGGACGCGTTTCCGAGTTCCGTGGCTAGTAGCCATGAAGTCTCTTCGTCTGTTCCTTCGTATCCGGACCATCGGACGAGGTATAAGAGTTGGCATTGTCTTCTACGACGGTCCAGCTTAGAGTCTAGGATTTCGGATATCTCATATTCTGGTTCTCCGTCGACTTCGACCGGAGGTGGAGGAGGCTGGATCCGATTGGGAATTGTGTTCGGAACGGATGGTTCTAGCTGTGAGACATGGAAGACGGGGTGGACGGATTTCATGGATTCGGGAAGTCGGATGGTAAAGGAATGGGTACCCGGACGGGATATGACTTCAAACGGACCTAGATTCTTTTCCGAGAGTTTCTTAGACGGACGAGTGGACCGGAAGTACTTAGCCTTGACAAAGACTTGGTCTCCGATATTGATATCCGGAGCAGGTTTCCGTTTAGCGTCCGCAGGTCCTTGATATCTTTCTTGGGCGTGAGCCATTTCTTCTCTAAGGAATTGGTGAAGGTCGTCGAGGTCTATAGCATAGTCGCGAGCGCGGATGGAGGATAGATCGCGTTCCGGATGGACGGATATGTTCGGATGATAACCCTTATTAGCAAAGAAAGGCGATACTCCGGTAGTAGCACTTGGAGCGTTATTGTAGGCAAATTCTGCTAAGGGAAGTAGTTCCGACCAGTTGTCCTGTTGATAATTGCAATATATCCGAAGGTATTGTTCCAGGGTTTGGTTGGCACGCTCGGTTTGTCCATCCCCTTCCGGATGATATCCGGATGTGAAGTGGAGGACCATATCCAATGCTTTTCCTAAGGATCGGAAGAAGTGGGATACAAACTCTGTACCGCGATCCGAGGTGACATGGGACGGAACTCCGTGCTTGGAAAACACATGAAGTAGGAATAGACGAGCGAGATCCGGAGAGGTAATGGTATCGTGAGTCGGAACAAATATTGCTTGTTTGGATAAACGATCTATGATAACGAGGATGGCTGTAAAGCCTGATGAGTCCGGAAGTTGCTCTATGAAATCCATGGATATGGAATTCCAAGGCTTTTCCGGTATGGGTAGTTGCTTGAGCAATCCGTAGGGTTTATGTCTCGGAACCTTGGCTCGGGCGCAGGTAGTGCAGGACCGGACGTAGTCCTTAACATAGGTGCGTATACCCGGCCATGTATACTCGCGTCGGATGAGGTCTAGGGTTCGGTTTTGACCAAAATGTCCGGATAAGGGGTGATCATGAGTATTACGGAGGACGCGAAGTCGAAGGTTATCGGATTCTGGGACATATATACGGTTGTCGCAACGGAGGAAACCCCTATCGTCCACTGTCCATCTCGGATCTGAAGGTACCGGAAGATGGTTGGTTGCAATAGGGTCATTAGGAAGTGCGGTCAGGATGTCTTTCCGAAGGTCATCAATATCCATTAGAACAGCTGCTCTAAGAACCGGAGTTGCTAAGGTTGAGGCTCGTAGGGACGAAGCTAACTGTTCGGACGTGAATACCGGACGGAAGTTATGAGGGTTAACTCGAGCGTAGTCCTTATCCCCCTCTTTGGGATAGACGTCCCAGCGTCTAGTAAGGGAATCCGGTTTAACTCCGAGTTTTCCGGGACGGAAGCGGATGACAAGATTGAACTGATGGAGGAATTCCGACCAGCGGGCCTGACGGCGAGAGAGGAGTTTGGTAGTGGCGAAGTACTCAAGGTTCTTGTGGTCCGTGACAACATCTACAGGCTCGGCCGAGCCTTCTAGATAATGTCGCCAGGTCCGGAAAGCTTCGTATAGCTAGTCTATAGCTAGAAGTTCCTTATCGTGGGTGTCATAGTTAAGTTCCGGAGCGGTTAGCGTTCGAGAGTAGAACGCTACCGGACGAAGCTCTGAGTCCGGACATACTATGGATAGTATTCCAGCTATAGCGTAGTCAGAGGCATCGGTTTCCACAACTATAGGAACATCCGGCATCCAGTGCGTAAGCACCGGAGCCGTAGTGAAGGCTTTCTTGAGTTCTTCGAAGGATTTCCGACATTCATCGGAAAAGTTCCACGGAGCATCCTTGCGTGTAAGCCGTGTTAACGGAACCACGATATCCGAGTAGTTGAATATAAACCGTCTATAGAAATTTGCGAATCCGAGGAAGGATTGGATATCCTTGACTTTCCGAGGTTCCGGCCAGTCAGTAATAGCTTGGATCTTATCGGACGACATAGTTAAGCCGTCCGGAGATAGGAGATATCCGAGATATTCAACGGAAGTGGAATGGAATTCGCATTTTTCGGGTTTGGCATAGAGACGATGTTTACGGAGTCGACGGAGTACTTCTCGGACGTGTTGCTTGTGGGACGCAAGGTCATGGGAATAGATGAGGATGTCGTCCAGATATACGATAACGCATACATCCAGCATATCAGCAAACACGCTATTGACAAAGCGCTGGAATGCTGCTGGAGCGTTAGTGAGACCTTCCGGCATCACCAACCATTCATAGGAGCCATAGCGCGTTCGGAAGGCAGTCTTCCATTCGTCCCCTTCCGCTATCCGGACGAGATGATAAGCGGATCGGAGGTCGATTTTGGTATAAACTTTAGCACGGCTCGGAGAGTCTAATAGGTCGGCAATGAGGGGTAATGGATATCGGTCTTTCTTAGTGATCTGGTTGAGTCCACGGAAATCCACACAAAGGCGGAGGGATCCGTCCTTTTTCTTGACAAATAGGACCGGAGCTCCGTGAGGAGAGGATGAGGAGCGGAGGAGTCCAGAGGCAATATTTTCATCAAGAAACTTCCGGAGGGCTGCAAGCTCGACCGGGGATAGAGAATAGATAGTTCCGAGGGGAGGACTAGTTCCTTCTTCCAGATCTATGTTCAGATCATAAGGACGATGTGGAGGAAGCTGACCAGCCTTTCCCT